TGTGCAGTTATATCAAATCAATAGATTTGGGAAAAATTACCCTATAACATCAATACCAATATGCCAACATACAATTTCATATCTGAAGGACTTTATAGAGCCCAATGCAATACCCAGCAATAATTAGAGGACTATTGCAGCACAGGAGTAAGACAAATCTATGCATCTTAATGCGGTCTCATTGTCGTTGAAGGGCAAGTTACATGCTCCCAATTCCCTCATCTCTAAACACACACACACACACACACACACACACACACACACACACACACACACACACACACACACACCACACACACACACACACACACACACACACACACACCTTCCACTTCTTCATCACCGGCCTCTGAGCCCAGCCTCATGTTTGTTGATCGTTCACGTAGCTAGGCCCACTTGTTATTGACTTCTCAACTCACCTCGGAATGAAATGAAAAATTCAAACCCTCTTGCCACTCAAAAGGGCCACAGCAGACACTCGTTTGCATGTTTTATCTCCTTTCCACTGTGCACCCCTTCAAGACCTGTCGGCTCCCAACGTCTTTCATTTATGACAGGCTGAAGATTTTAAGTCATGTCGATGTCAGTCATTCTGTCAAGGTTGTTTACCTAAATGTACCAACACCAGAGAATACACTAGAGTCTAGACAACACTTAGGGTGAGTAAGTGAGTAACAAAGTAGCACAGACAATGGTTAGAGCAGCCCACACTTCAACCCCCAGTCTCCCCGGCCAGAAGGAGTGTTTTTGGGATAATGGCAGGTCATATAGGGGACCTGTGGAGCTCGGCCCTGTGGTGGTAATTGTCCCATTTGGTTCTGTGGCATTTAAATCCAGCTGTCAATTATCCATCTGCTGAGAGACGGATGGACGGGCACAGGCAGTTAGTGGAGAGAGACAGCATGCAGAGTTAAAGCTATCAGATAACAAGCATATCTATTCTGACTCAGTAAAGTTAGAGTTTAGGCTCTACTTCACTCCTGCCTCAGTAGTCTGGATGCCTGCTGTGGTGGTGGTGGTGGTGTTGTATGACAGCATCTCACTAAGGAATAGTTAGAGAAGTTAGTGTGTGGCCAATTTAGCTGTACAGTAGCCTCATTGTTCTCTTTATTGATCGACTACACTGACTCCCATCTTATTTCAAAGGGTCCTACACTGACCAGTGGACAGTGCCTGCCTTCCATGCTAGGCTTGTAATGCTGGCCTATGCTGACTACCACCACACTTCTTTTTGCTTTGTGCTGACAGTACAGTACAGTACAGCACAGCACAGCACAGTAGTCATGTTTAAGTTCACTATGGCTGGCCCGGTGCCCACTAGTCTCCTCGGGGGCCAATCCTCTTACAGCCTGTGTGTACAGATTACCATTAGCACATTCACATTATATTCTCTGCCAAACCGAATTTCCACTTTTCCCAGAACCCACAGGTTTTAACCTGTTTTCTGTGGTGTTGGTAGTTGTCTGGAAACACATCGCCAAAGTCTGGGAAATCCGCAATAAGATCAGGGAGTCAGTTTGTCTAATTTAGCCTACAGTGCAACCCAATGTGGAAAAGAAACGTCAGTAAACCAGTATACCATCAATAACATAAAGGGAGAATTAGAAAAGGCTGTATTCCCTTTGGATTGGGCATGATTAACAGAGTTTTTGAACTATGTCTGTGAACTGTGGGCTAGTCCATTGAGTATGACATGGGAGTGATGGGGTGGGGGGGCTTGTTTAATGACTGTCTCATATTTCCTAACGATATTGTGCGGTATGGATGCCAATGACGTGGATGGCTGTTTTGTGGGTTATGATGATGATGATGATGATGAAGATGATGTATTGTGTGTTATGGATGGTGCTGTGATGCTGACCTCTATGTTCTGTATTGTTGCTGTACAGGAGTTTGCAGCCCTGACCAAGGAGCTGAACGTATGCAGAGAGAACCTTCTGGAGAAGGAGGAGGAGATCTCCGAGCTCAAGGCCGAGAGGAACAACACCAGGGTACGTGGAGAGGAGACACACACTCACTCATGCGCACGAGCAGACACAAGAACGCGCGCACGCACAAACACACACATTTTTCTGCCCAATTCTAACCACATACATTGACCTGAACCACAACGGCTCAGAGCCTATGGAGATCAACAATGTTTTCATCTGTTGACGTGGTTGACTGGTCATCTGTAACATAGGTAAATGGAACCGGTAGCCTCCATTTCCCCAGGGGACAGATTTGGACCCCATGTACATAACTCTGAATTCCAATTCCGATAATACCCTTCATTAGGCAGAGTAACCAAATCTTGCTATTGACAGATAAGGCTGGTTTTTCCCACCAGGCTGTATAATGGGAGACTCACAGAGTCACACTGACTGACTGCACACCACCAGTCTGCCAGAGAGGATTTTAGCACTGCCATTTTAGTAGGCCTGTCACTGCTCTGCCATCTTGAGAGAGAGAGAGAGAGAGAGAGAGAGAGAGAGAGAGAGAGAGAGAGAGAGAGAGAGAGAGAGATGAGAGAGAGGAGAGAGAGAGAGGAGAGATAGAGGGGGAGAGAGAGAGCGAGGAGGAGAGAGACGAGGGGGGGGGGGGGGGACGGACGGACGGAGAGGGAGAGAGAGAGACAGAGAGAGGGAAGTAATTTAGTCTCTCTCTCCTTCATTATCACCTTGAATCCTCTGCAGAGCGATTATGAGGCAGACTTTTAATATATCTGCTTTTTTTGTTGTAAAGGTTTTAAAGTTCCTAATTAAATATTTGAAGCCAGGTGCATGCAATCAGTGGGTTGGAGGGCTGACAACAGAATGGATGATGGTGTACCTCTAGGTTTTAGGCCTGAACACTGTAAGCTGGATAAGAGCTTGTGCCAAATGACTTGCATACAAAGCCATGCAGTGTAGAAACATGATAAGAGAGAAATGATGAGCCACAGAGAGGGGATAGAGAGAGGAGGAGAAGGAGGGAGGAGGAGGAGGAGAAGGAGGAGGAGAGGGTGTTTGTAGGTTGCTTTTTGTTATTCCGGCGAAGCGACCACTGAGGTAGAGCTGGGGCCAGCGTTCAGACTCTGATTGATTAGACCCATGGGGCGGCGCACAATTGGCCCAGCGTCGTCCAGGGGAGGGGAGGGAATGGCCGGCAGGGATGTAGCTCAGTTGGTAGAGCATGGCGTTTGCAACGCCAGGGTTGTGGGTTTGATTCCCACGGGGGGCCAGTACGAAAAAATAAATAATGTATGCACTCACTAACTGTAAGTCGCTCTGGATAAGAGCGTCTGCTAAATGACTAAAATGTAAATGTGAATGTAAACAGTGGGGGTTTGGATGTGGGGAGGGAAGGTGGGGGGGATCTCAGCCTGCTGGCAGCCCTTCAGACGCTCAAGGAGGGAAGGAAGGACGGACAGCCCTCTTGAAGCCCTCCAAAACTAGTCCACACCACTCTCTCAGCACCTTTTCCCTGACTCCAACTTATTAAGTAAGACAGCAACAGAGACAATGGCTCAGTTCCAATGTTGTTTCTAGCATATCATTTAGAATGGAGCAATGTATTCAGCATGCATTTTAAAGGGTATGCTAGTGTGGATATTGAAACAGAGCCTATGTTTACCATTTAGGCCCCACCCAACATAGCATCTGCAGTGCCTGATGGGTAGTGTAGTGCAACACTGAAGTCCTAGTGACGTTTTACCAGGTTGAGTGAATATGTCTTTACTTTGAAAATGTGGTTGATGTCTGTATGTCTAATGGTTCTTAATGCCTGGAAGATTAAGGGATTACAGTCTATGGTTTAAGCACAATGCTTGGACGGACTCACAACACCACCAGAGCCCTGCTTAAAGATGGGTTTAGTAGTAAATTACTTCCTTGGTTACATACTATGGCGACGCCAGTGTGAAAACTCTCCCAAACTATTGGTGAACCACACCGTTACATTATTATCCAGCCGCAGCGTGTGGCGACGCCGAGAAGGGGTTGTTTGGCCTAGTGAAGCACAGTCAGGGTTAGAAACAAGGCATTTGGGACGTGAAGATGAAGAAAACTGTCAATGTTTCTCAGAATGACCAGACAACAAAGCTGAAGACACTACATGAACCTCTCCTCAGATCACTATCTCAGCGGATCTTGGTGTATTCCTAACAGGGCAGATAGCATCATCATTAGCTTGCTCGATTAGTTGCTTGTCTGTTAGGCATTTGCATTCCCTCCAAAACACTAGGCCTTCATAAGACCAGGTTATGGGCCAAATCTAGACCCCAAAAGCCTAGCTATTCAGACTAGCACACCCAGACTTCCCTCAGTCCCCCATCCCTCCACTGTGCCTGTATGACAGAGATCAGAGGACAGTGTTCACCTTTATGGTCCCTGTGTGTCTCTACTCCTCCTCACTCCTGTTCCGCCTACTCCCAGCGGACTCATCTCATCCCTTTGTGTTGCTGGAAGTTGACTCTCCCTGTCCTTGGGAATCTTTCCACTGAGAATTGATTCGGCACACCACCTACACCAGCCCGGCATAGTAACAACATTAGCATAATCTATTTTGTGTGCAGGCCAGAGAGTTTCAATTTGTTTTGAGTGCCTTTATTGTTCCGAGTGCCATAATTGATTTCCGTATGTCTCGTGTTTTTACACTGAACGGTTATTGTTCTCCTTCTCCCCCCGACCAAAAGTTGGAAAATTAAATGAAATGACCAAATTGAGAAGATCTCATTGATTACTTTGATTTCTTTTCATTGCGGTTAATCAGGGTTGATAAAAAATGTCTTTAGAGAATCACATGTGTGGTTGGTACAATACAGTCCAATAGTCAGGCCACTACATGTTGACATTTAGAATCATATCACTACATCTTCTCTGGTGCCAGGATAATTGATGATGCAGACGATAACGGTAATAGGGTTGATGATGATGTCAATCATACAGATGATGCAGATAGCCTTTATGATGATGATGCGGATGATGATGATTATATGAACTCTAATTTCTGTCCCTATGTCTGTCTCTATAGTTGCTTCTGGAGCATCTGGAGTGCCTGGTGTCCAGACATGAGCGGTCACTACGTATGACCGTGGTGAAGCGGCAGGCCCAATCCCCCTCAGGCGTGTCCAGTGAGGTGGAGGTCCTCAAAGCGCTCAAGTCCCTGTTCGAGCACCACAAAGCTCTAGACGAGAAGGTAAGACCATACATTAGTGATGTAGCCTATATAATGTGTATGCACAGTAGCTATTCTTTTTTGCTGACTGGAAGAATGGATTATACACGCGGATAGAGATTCTTCAATTGATTGTACGGTATATTTGACTGATGACAGTACACATGGAGAGGTATTGCTAACATAGTGCCATCCTGGTATTGAATATCCTTTGTTTTGGCATAAGTCACCACCAGAGCTCCATTGTAAGGTCCTACCAGAGGTTGTGTACAGTAACTGACTCATGGGGGGTTGTTGTGTGTTTCTTTTCTTCAGGTGAGGGAGAGACTGCGGGTGTCGCTAGAGAGGGTCTCGGCATTGGAGGAGGAGCTAACATCAGCCAACCAGGAGGTGAGAAACATGTCACAGTATCATGTCCACAGGTGCTCTGACTGAGACGTCAGTTCTATTCATTTCATCGGCCTTAGTCAGGAATTTGTCCATGTTTTAGTTGACTTTCAGAGTACTTTGATGTTAACAGTTCTACTGAGGAGGACTCCTCTTCAGGGGGTAGTCATTCTGTCTTAAGATGGAGTTCGGTGTGTGATGGGGTGAAGTATGGCATTGACAGATGAGAGCTGGCCCGTGGCGTTAGCAGGGTGGCGTAACCCCTCTGCCCAGCCTCTCAGCATCTCAGCCTCTCTCTGCCAGTCTCTGCCAGGGCAGATGGTCATGTTCCAGCTGAGAGGAGCCCTCAGGCTGGCGCTCTACAGGAGCCAAATTAACCACTCTGCACTGCCAGAGAAGAGGGAGAAGAGGGAGAGAGAGAGAGAGAGAGGTGAGAGAATGGTGGAAGACATGAGCAGTGAGGGAGTGAGAGGTAGGGTGAGAGATGGCGGGGGGGGAGAGAGAGAGAGAGAGAAGTGTGAGAGAGATAGGTACAGTGGTTCCTCAATTAAAAGTTTTGAGTTTATGCCGCAACCGCTTGTGGTAGATGGTGGCAGATTGTGGTAAATGGCGTCATTCTGTCATTGAACCACACTATCACAAGGGGGAGTTAGAAAGCTTATCTATCTGTAGTCTAAACTGTGGCACAAATGTACTATCTTTTCGTAAATTAATGGAGGTGCGAATGTTTCAGTCCAAGAGTCTCTCTTCTCTGGCACTAGAGTCCTGCATCAGGCAAAACATTTTATAGCTGGCGGGTGGTCCCAGAGTTGAGAGAGAACTTGGGTAAATACAATGGCGCAATTACACGGTGGGCTTTTGGTTTCTCTCCCTCTAAAAACAGAAATAAATAATTCTAAATAACAAACTGGCTTTATTTACCATAGTGTGAAAGAGTGACAGCCCCTCTATATGAAGTGAGTTTGTGAAACACGGAGTCCTTCTATGCTGATGTGAAGAAGAAACTGAATGAGAGAGAGTCCAGCGAGGATAGGGAGGGGAAAAGGTTGTACATATTTTCAAGACCTGAGCTACTTCCTGTATTTATGAAATGTACTAGTTTATTTAGGTTATTTAATATATGTGTTTAGGCTTGGCCTATTTACTAGGCTATTTCGCAGCTAAAGCTATATTTGTCAATATAAAGCTGAGTGATTCACTCATTCGTGGCTTTGGATCAACATAAATAAGTACCAACATCCTTTCTGATAGTCTTTCATAAAGAAATGTAAACTAAATAAATCAAATAAATCCTATTCATAATGAATAATCAGATGCGTGTTGCAAGCTTGTCATTTTTCCTTATTGTAGTTTTTTGTACGATTTTATTTGATACAAAACATACATATACAAAGGACAACTATGTCACACCTGCCCAGACCCACCTGCTCACACCCCCATCTCCAGTGTCCACATCACGCTCCGCCACATGGCCTCAAACTGCACCATTTAGTTTCTCTCCGTCTCCCACACTCACTTTCAACATTTGGATAATAAAGCATTTAAAGGCTGACATTGGTTGATTTTCAGTTTTTAAGTATATGTTTTTTCAAGATGATTGACAAGGATGATCACTGCACCCTTATATGCAATTTTTTTGAAATATGCAGACAGCCGGATTAAAAGTTAATTTCCATTGTAATACTTCTGACAGCCAAATTTCTAACTCCACCCATAACTTTTGGACTTCATAACATTCCCAGAAGGCATGGATTATTATAACCTAATGAAAAATGAACCTGGAAATCTAATTTAATTTACTGCATGCCCAATACCTATGGGTTTAACCTTCTGAATGAATGAATATAATGAAGATAGAAACTGCCTCTTAATGAGTTAAAAGAGCCGATCCGTTACACAACAAAATAATATCCGTTTATTTAGCCTAATTGTTACCAGGTGGACAGTAGAGAGAGGAGGACAGTCAGAGAGAGGAAGTGAGTGGATGAAGAGAAGAGAGAGAGAGAGAGAGAGAGAGAGAGAGAGAGAGAGAGAGAAGGAAGGAGAGGAGAGAGAGAGAGAGAGAGAGAAGGAGAGAGAGAGAGGAGAGAGAGAGAGAGAGAGAGAGAGAAGAGAGAGAGGTAGAGAATGGTGGAAGACATGAGGCAGTGAGGGGTGAGAGGTAGGGTGGAGAGATGGCTCCTTCTGTAGCGCAACTGGTAGAAGCACGGCCGCTTGAAACGCCAAGGTAGTGGGTTCGAGCCCCGGGACCCCACCCATACACAAAGAAAATGTATGCACGCATGACTGTAAGTCGCCTTGGATAAAGCGTCTGCTTAATGGCATATTATTATTATTATATGGGGCGGGGGGAGAGAGAGAGAGAGAGAAGTGTGAGAGAGATAGGTACAGTGGTTCCTCAATTAAAAGTTTTGAGTTATGCCGCGACCGCTTTGTGGTAGATGGTTGGCAGATTGTGGTAAATTGGCGTAATTCTGTCATTGAACCACACTATCACAAGGGGGGAGTTAGAAAGCTTATCTATCTGTAGTCTAAACTGTGGCACAAATGTACTATCTTTTCGTAAATTAATGGAGGTGCGAATGTTTCAGTCCAAGAGTCTCTCTTCTCTGGCACTAGAGTCCTGCATCAGGCAAAACATTTTATAGCTGGCGGGTGGTCCCAGAGTTGAGAGAGAACTTGGGTAAATACAATGGCGCAATTACACGGTGGGCTTTTGGTTTCTCTCCCTCTAAAAACAGAAATAAATAATTCTAAATAACAAACTGGCTTTATTTACCATAGTGTGAAAGAGTGACAGCCCCTCTATATGAAGTGAGTTTGTGAAACACGGAGTCCTTCTATGCTGATGTGAAGAAGAAACTGAATGAGAGAGAGTCCAGCGAGGATAGGGAGGGGAAAAGGTTGTTCATATTTTCAAGACCTGAGCTACTTCCTGTATTTATGAAATGTACTAGTTTATTTAGGCTATTTAATATATGTGTTTAGGCTTGGGCTATTTACTAGGCTATTTAATATATGTGTTTAGGCTTGGCCTATTTACTAGGCTATTTAATATATGTGTTTAGGCTTGGCCTATTTACTAGGCTATTTAATATATGTGTTTAGGCTTGACCTATTTACTAGGCTATTTAATATATGTGTTTAGGCTTGGCCTATTTACTAGGCTATTTCGCAGCTAAAGCTATATTTGTCAGTATAAAGCTGAGTGATTCACTCATTCATGGCTTTGGATCAAAATAAATAAGTACCAACATCCTTTCTGATAGTCTTTCATAAAGAAATGTAAACTAAATAAATCAAATAAATCCTATTCATAATTACATTTACATTTACGTCATTTAGCAGACGCTCTTATCCAGAGCGACTTACAGTTAGTGAATACATAATTTTATTTTTTTATACTGGCCCCCCGTGGGAATCGAAACCACAACCCTGGCAATGCAAACGCCATGCTCTATCAACTGAGCTACATCCCTGCCGGCCATTCCCTCCCCTACCCTGGACGACGCTGGGCCAATTGTGCGCCGCCCATGAGTCTCCCGGTCGCGGCCGGCTGCGACAGAGCCTGGATTCGAACCAGGATCTCTAGTGGCACAGTTAGCACTGCGATGCAGTGCCTTAGACCACTGCGCCACTCAGGAGTTAATGAATAATAATGAATAATCAGATGCGTGTTGCAAGCTTGTCATTTTTCCTTATTGTAGTTTTTTGCACGATTTTATTTGATACAAAACATACATATACAAAGGACAACTACGTCACCCCTGCCCAGACCCACCTGCTCACACCCCCATCTCCAGTGTCCACATCACTCTCCGCCACATGGCCTCAAACTGCACCATTTAGTTTCTCTCCGTCTCCCACACTCACTTTCAACATTTGGATAATAAAGCATTTAAAGGCTGACATTGGTTGATTTTCTGTTTTTAAGTATATGTTTTTTCAAGATGATTGACAAGGATGATCACTGCACCCTTATATGCAATTTTTTTGAAATATGCAGACAGCCGGATTAAAAGTTAATTTCCATTGTAATACTTCTGACAGCCAAATTTCTAACTCCACCCATAACTTTTGGACTTCATAACATTCCCAGAAGGCATGGATTATTATAACCTAATGAAAAATGAACCTGGAAATCTAATTTAATTTACTGCATGCCCAATACCTATGGGTTTAACCTTCTGAATGAATGAATATAATGAAGATAGAAACTGCCTCTTAATGAGTTAAAAGAGCCGATCCGTTACACAACAAAATAATATCTGTTTATTTAGCCTAATTGTTACCAGGTGGACAGTAGAGAGAGGAGTGAGTGAGAGAGAAAAGAGAGAGAGGAGAGAGAGAGAGAGAGAGAGAGAGAGAGAGAGAGAGAGAGAGAGAGAGAGAGAGAGAGAGAGAGAGAGAGAGAGAGAGAGAGAGAGGTAGACATTTAAAATTCTGCTCTAGCAGCCACACAGGCCTTAGGAGGTGAGAGGAAACCCTGGTCAACAACTAATCTGCCCCGGGTATAGAAAACAAGTACAGTGTTACACCTCAACATACATTTTACTGAGTCGAGGCAGAGTTCTTTATTAGATTAAATATTTGCCTTGGTGAAATAGAGTACACATTCATTACGTTGCCATTATAATACAGTGACTATACTTCATATGACTACAGTGGCTACATAACTTGCTGCTGTGTCATGGTGAGACAGTCTGCTGAGTGAGTGGGTGTTGAGGCCCGGTGATGGGGGCTGCGGTTAAATAAGCACTGCTGAATAGAAACGTCCACACTTCCACACGTCTGAGCCTCCAGGGAGGACGTTGGGTCCCAGTGGCTGCCTGCCCCAGCTCCAGACTGTTAATTGATTTGGGATGGAGATCTGCCTCGAGTCGCTCTCCTCTGGGGCTTCAGTCTGCAGATAACACCACCTGCAATCCTGGAGCCTCCCATAGAGAGCTGCACTGCCTAATGACATAGATGACCTTCGACCTCCCAGTCTCAGGTGTTTAAGTGATCCAGATATGACCTCCCAGTCTCAGGTGTTTAAGTGGTCCAGATTTGAATATCCATTGTGCATACTCTCTCAGAGCTGATTTCTTTAAAATGTTACAATTTAGAATAAATAGTTCAATATGCAACAGCAAGCAAATCCACTGTCTGTGGATGAAATCTCAAACCCTGCGTGCTGGGATATTGTCGAGGCTTAATGTAAAGGGAATCCTCCATTGTAATTGTGGAATAATCCCTCCCTGCCCTTTGCCCTCTTAGAATGAATATAATGAATGTAATACTTGCATCTAGTGTTTTATAGTTGTATAGCTTTAAGGCTATTTCTGGCACACAGTGGCAGAGGCAGTTATGTGTCGCATTTTCACATCAATCATTCTTCATTGACGGAGGTGTCATTGAATGCCCTCTAAGTCTTGAACGCAGCTCCACTGGAGCGGATGGTGAAACACTTGGCAACCGTGTTGGATTCTCTCACTGTGTTGTTTTATTGTGATGTCATCGCCTCCTTCTGAGAAATGTAATTCTGTCGGTCTCTCCGGGGGTGCAGACACAGCCCAGTGATAGATCTGGGATTCCCACAAATGGGAAGTGCCCAACAAATAATCAGGCTTAACTTAATTTATTGCAGACAGAGATGGCATTCCAATAACAGTAATACTGATATACTGTGTGGATTTTACCGATCAGGACTGGAAGGCCCAATTGCAGCACTGCCTCAGTCTGTAGTATGATGTATTGCCATGTTTAGCAAAATACTGTATTATACAGTATGACTGTCATAGGCTGCTACACTATCCTTCCTGGATTCTTCTCTCTCTCATTGGCGTCATAATATTGATGTCTCCGATGGGGGAAACAAGGTCGGTTTGTTTCCTAAATCCAGATGAAATCCTGAGATTAAAGCCTAAAAGATCCTGTGATCAGTGGTAATAGCAGCACGCTGTCATTTTAATCACACCATCCTGTTTGCCTCCCAGCTGGGTCTGTTCGTTATGGAAAATCTGTCAATGTCTGAGCTCATGATTACATAATAATGGACAATGAGCAAACTAATTCAAAGCAACCAATATTTTAGTTTGTGCTGGTGGAGGCCTCTGGGAAGCATAGTGACCGGCTACAGGTATTTATGACAATGACATGGTGCATCTCTCTACTGTAGTTGTCAAACAGTAAAATCACGACTTTTGTACAAATATTTTCACACACCAAAATATGACAGTTATGCGAAAAAAATTATGGTTAGCACATCGTGAAACAATGACCGTCTTCTCCTAGTTTCAAGGTCTGGGAGGCTTCTCTGAAACTGACTTGTGAAGGCAGACCCTACAGGCATCATGTAGTCTCCCTGGTATTGCTGTCACTCGTCGTTAGCAATGGTGTAAAATTGCATTAGAAGTGAGGGGGCCCCATAAAGGAACTGATACCATGCTGTTTGTACTGTCCAAGAATAGGTTATAGTCCAACAATTTTGACAATTATAGCTGTGTCTCTACCCTGTTATTTCCCCCTTCCTCCCGCTCGGAAAGTCCTAATCAGCCGTCACTGTCAGGGAAAACCCTCATTATGCTTGTCGTGTCACTCGTTTGTAGCCCCTGGCAACGTGATTAAGAGTGAACACCAGATGCTTCAGGTGATACAGAGAGAGAGAGATGGGTTCGCTGAACAAGATAATCATAGTGATCACGTCAAAACCTTGACTTAACATGACTTAGCTGGCAGCGTAATGTTCCGGAAATTCCTACACAGACAAGCTGTAACAGTAGGATATAACCTGTTAGCTGTCGTTGAGGAAATATTTAGGTTGTTTGTGTTTTGGAAAGTGAATGAGATCCTGACCCTTGACCTTAACAAATTGGCGCATCAGTTTTATTCCCCTGAGGCACTGACAGTACAGCCCCATGCCTGGCTGGAGCTGACAACTGTGTGTGTGCGTATTTGTGTCCGCGTGCTCGTCTGTGTGCTATGTGTGCCTGCATGTGTGATTGACTGCTAGGCTGATCTCTGCTGTGTATTGTAATTATAGACCTGTGTATTAACCTCTGTCATGTGTCCCTCTCTGTAGATTGTGGCCTTACAGGAGCAGAATGCCCACATCCAAAGGAAGGTGGCGTCAGGGGACGGGTCAGAGGACATACTGGAGGGCACTGATGCCAGCCAGAAGGTACATAGCAAGGTGGGCATCCATTGCATTTACTGTCTTTCTTTTTTTCCTGTCAATATCCACAGCTCCAACACTCTCAACATTTCAGTTTTCACATCAACGTAAAAGTGTCGGATATAGATACTTTTCAAACATCATTTTCATTGATTCAACAAAGTTGTCCATTCATAGTCTGATATTAGTATCATCGTGGTATCAATCATGTTATCATTTCACTAGCTAGATAGATACAGCCTTTGACTGTCAGCAGTGTCTTTGAGCAGCCTGATAGGCAGCGTGAAGGACACCCACAATCAGGTGATATGTACTGTCTATGACCCCACCAGATTCCATTATACTGGAGCACCCATACTTCTGAATACATCTGCATATAAATGGTCCTAGATCACACATTCATACATTGTCCTATAATGCATCCACGATTAGTCAGACCAGAGTGAAACACAGTACCTTGAGCAGTCAAAGCGTAGGACATTTCCTGATACTCCCAGACATCAAAAGCACTTAGAATGCAGAAAGCAACAGTGTCTTAATCTCATAGAGGCTGGTACTGCAGAACAACAAACAGAGACATCAATGACAATTCAATTCTAGCTCTCGTCTCATGGTTTGGATGTGAGCTGAATCTCTAGGCTCGTGGATGAGCTGTACCGTGTGATGGGGACGGGTTGCCAGGAGTGTACGATTCAGTTGAGCCTGACTGGGCGACAGCTGTCTGTGGCCTGTCATTCTGCAGAGTAGGGGGGTGGGGATGAGAGGGGTTGGAAGGTTGAAACTCCCCGTCACACACACACACACCCTCCTTGGTGTTAGTGAGAGGGAAGTCACTCACTGTCACCATCCAGAGGTAGTGACACGGATGATCTTCGGGGCAACTTTCCTCCCGGGGGGCGGGGCAGAGTCCTCCTCTCCGTCTCACTGCTCCTGGGTAGAAGGGTGTTGGAGTAGAATGAACACACAGGCTAACGTCGTCATCAGGCTGTTGTCAACCGTGTGTCAGGTGGAGGTGTGTGTGTGTTGTGTGTGTGTTGTGTGTGTGTGTGTGTGTGTGTGTGTGTGTGTGTGTGTGCACGTGTTGCACCTGAATTAACCATCAGGTCACATCATCACCCCGGGGCATAGAGCTAGCTTAACCTGACAAGACAGCTAATGCAGTCAGACAGCCATGGCCTTTCCCTTCTAACCATCAAGACCTCAATATTATATAGTGATCGAAACTCCGAATATTTCCTGTTGAATAGTAAAACCAAGAAGATTTATCCATAGCGGTAATCTTTTACAGTTAGCAATTTCAAAACATAACGATAAAATATAAGCTAGACTAGTTTTTACTGACATGCCCAAGCTATTGGTGCTGGGCTCCCCCACTGCAATTTAGCAGCGCTGTAAAGTTGCTGTGATATGTAGACAACTAGACGTATAAAACGGGTCTAATTTAGCAAAAGGAAACTGCCACGGTACACAGTAGCTTGTTCCCTACCAGATCAATCTGCCTCGATGGAGAAACAATGTTTAACTCCATGTCCATCACTCTTAAAGGCATTGTTACAAGTATCAAGTCCACCTCGTCCCCAACCGGATAACTCCCCTGCAGGCTTTACGAGTATACTCTCCGACGCTCCGCAATTAAGTTTTTATTTCGAGAACCGGCCGTATAACTTGTTATCTCTGGGAAAAGTTCAAACCAACCCGCACTAAAAGCCAAGCTAAGGAGATGAATCCCAAAGTTTGTCCATTATGAGAGTTGGCTGTTGTGTTGGTATTAAAACCAGCGGGCTGATTTAGTGGGGCCTGTTGCCTTACACGGTGAATCATTTATCACAGGCAGTAGGGAGAGAGGCCCAATTAGGGCTGTCTGGCCAGATGGATGGGTATGGATGGGCAGCTGGCCCTGATACATGAGGATGGGTAGAGGAGGGAGAGAGAGGGGGGGGGGGGGGGTAGGAGAAAGAGAGAAGGGAAAGAGAGATGGGAGAGGAGAGAGACAGACAGACAGACAGGGGTACAGAAAGAGAGATGGGAGAGGAGAGACAGACAGACAGAGAGAGAGGGGTACAGATAGAGAGATGAGAGAGGAGAGACAGACAGACAGACAGAGAGAGGGGTACAGATAGAGAGATGAGAGAGGAGAGACAGACAGACAGAGAGAGGGGTACAGATAGAGAGATGAGAGAGGAGAGACAGACAGACAGAGAGAGGGGGTACAGATAGAGAGATGAGAGAGGAGAAACAGACAGACAGAGAGAGGGGTACAGATAGAGAGATGGGAGAGGAGAGACAGACAGGCAGAGAGAGGGGTACAGATAGAGAGATGAGAGAGGAGAGACAGACAGGCAGAGAGAGGGGTACAGATAGAGAGATGAGAGAGGAGAGACAGACAGACAGAGAGAGGGGTACAGATAGAGAGATGAGAGAGGAGAGACAGACAGACAGAGAGAGGGGTACAGATAGAGAGATGAGAGAGGAGAGACAGACAGACAGAGAGAGGGAGAGGAAAAGAGAAACATAAGTCCCCCTCCCTCTCTCTGTCTGTCTCCTCCTCCCTTCCAGAGTCAAACCAAATCATATTCCTAATGCAAGTGCCAAACTCTTCAATGCAGTCTGGAGGAATATTTATAGTGCCTCCATCACCCTGGCTGTGTGTCCATCTGAAATGAAACCAGAATAGGGGGCCAACAACCTCCAGCTCCTAAATTTATTAGAGCGCTAACACTATCTCTCTTGAGTGGGAAATGCAGAGGTCTGATTCAAGGCCCTCTCAGCCTGTACTTCAGCACTCACTGCAGAGGGCTTGACTGGAAATTATGTTGTTTCAGCTCATCCATTTCAATTCAGCTAGCTAACACAGTTTTTGTGTCATGGGACCTTAATTAACTCAATCCACGAAATTGCTGAAATTGCTGAAAAGCAATTTAGAAATTAATTTTTTATTCTTGACTTAGCTCCTGATTTGACTGAATGGAAATGGAGTTGAGCCCAATCCTGCCAGCTTTATCCAATAAGAGTCAAAACGTCTGGTTAAATGTCTCATTCTCTCTCATTCTCTCTCCTCCTGGTCCCCCAGCGCCTGTCCAACGGCTCCATGGAGTCGGCCCACGAGGCCAGCCAGGTGGTGGAGCTGCAGGACCTGCTGGAGAAGCAGAACTATGAGCTGGCCCAGATGAAGGAGCGCATGTCCTCCCTGTCCTCCCGCGTCTCCGAGGTGGAGCAGGAGCTGGACACCGCCCGCAAGGACCTCATCAAGACAGAGGAGATGAGTACTAAATATCAGAGGGACATCAAAGAGGTGAGGAGAGAGGTACATTCATAGGAGATGCACCCACTCTCTAAGGAGAGACACTCACACACACACTGTTAATTGAGAGTTAGGGTTGTTGAGAACATACATTAACATGCATGAGGGACATATGCATTCACTACCTCAACCTCCTCTCTGACGACTTAGAGGAGTTACTGCCTCAGACAATCTGGATGGTTCTTGGAAAAGTAATGTATCCAGGCTTCTTACTACACATTGGTACTCGGAGATGGTCTCTACTCATCTGTCCTGTGCTATAGGCGGACCATTATAGTCACACAATCACTGGACCCTCTTATTTGGAGGAGAAGTGAATGTCCATCCGGTGATGTGAATCTGAATGTGACCTGGCTCTTGGTCCGCCTTGCTAGCGGCTAACCCTGGTTGAGATTGCTATTGATTGCTAATGATGATGGCAGCCTGGGCTCAGGAAGTGAGGCCCAGCTAGTACACTGATCTTTATCAGCCCAGTCCTGTCTAAGTAATTACCACTGTCTGTGGAGACTGGTCTGAGAACAGTGTTATATCATAACAGCGCTAGAGGACATTTCCTTCCCCTCTATACACATACTCACTGAGACTCCATACAGGAAATTAACCGTAGGAGATTTAGGGAGATACTGTTTATGCTGTTGAGAGGGAAATGTACAATGCACAGACACACACACACACAGTTGAGTACATGTAAATCTGTCTCACTGTGTGTGTGTGTGTGTGTGTGTGTGTGTGTGTGTGTGTGTGTGTGTGTTTGTCCCTACAGGCTATGTGTCAGAAGGAGGACATGGAGGAGAGGATCGTCACTCTGGAGAAGCGGTACCTCAGCGCCCAGAGAGAGTCCACCTCCCTGCACGACATCAGCGACAAACTGGAGAATGAGCTGGCCAATAAGGAAGCGTTCCTCAGACAGGTCACTTACCCTCTTCCACCAATCCTAACTTTAACCATTAAAGTAGTGGGGGAGCTGGGGGGGATACAAAACTGAACTAAGATCAGCATCTGAGGGATACTTCTTTAACCCCACTGACTTTAAACCTTTGGTTTTAGGGTCACAACCCAGAAGGAATCAAAAGTGTCCCCACCGTGGGTCCCACCCACCTAGAAAAACCATGCCCTTTAGTACATGTTATTGCTAAGGCAAAACTCAATTACATCTCGCATCTCTGGTTTAAAGGAGATCTCCATGGGCTCAGGGATCGTTCTCTACATTAATGGAGGACCATAGTTACAATAGCACACATATTTGCTGAAATCACCTGCGATCTGGATGAATAACACACTGTTCATTGCCAGTAGTGGATCAAGGATAACTCTCGTCTTTGATGAATAAGAGTTCATAACATTCTGAAACGAGAGGATATCTTGACATTGTGTTTAACTCCAGCTGAGTAATTTGCGTATGGGTCAGGAATTGTAATGTAGTTGCTTGAAGAGGCTGTGTGGGTGGATGTGCATGGATGCTTATCTGTGCCTGAGTTATTTGGTATTGTGAATAATGTTATGATTAAGGAGGGGGAGCAATCACAGATACAGCACCAACAGCTGAGCTCAAGGCAGATGGATTTTCATACATTTTTATTGCCAAGCTATAGAGAACACACACATACACACACACACACACACACACACATGAATCCGCATTTCTTAAACAGAAGGTACTCCGTGCACATTTAAGCAATAATGCCCGAGGAGGTGTGGTATATGGTCTGATATACCACGGCTGTCAACCAATCAGCATTCAGGGCTCGAACCACGCAGTTTATAAAAGGAAATAAACCATAAGCAATTTCCATGTGCAATTTTCTAAACTTACATTTCTAATCCAATGTTTGCCCTTGGTTTGTGTCTGGCATCAGCCCCTTGGTTCTTTCCAATGGCATCCTGGCCCATTCCCTTGCCACTAGGAAGCTTGGGCTAAGTTTAACTCTGAACTCCAACCAGGGATGAGAGTTGAATGGTACTCCATCCAGCAGCATTCAAAGAGCATACAGAAATAAAGCCCCAACCCCCCCTATGGACCCAGCAGTCACATCACACCACCACCCCTGCAGATCTGGTTTGTCTTGTTGCCGTGCCAACGGCCCTGCCCCAGGGCCTGGGCACTGACTTTTGAAGATGAGCAACTCAAGAGGGACGAAGAGGGGAGACGGAGAGATTGAAGGAGGGATGGAGACAGAGGGTGCAGGGAATACAGAGCCTCAAGTGTTTTTTTCAAAGCCAGTAGGGTGCTGGGCCTGTGTATACATACAGTAGTAGTAAACACACAGTATAGCAGAGAGACACACACAGAGAGCCCTGGTTTGGCCCCCCCAGGCCCCCCATGGCCCCCAGCCCACTCATGTCTAATTACTGGGTATGGGCTACCAGGGCCAATGCTATGGGGGGACGGGAGCATCTGTCACTGGTGGAGACAGCTGCCAAGTAGTCTCTGGAAATGGAACAGTCTGAAACTGAGCAGAGCCAGGAGGAAGATTGAATGGGCCGTAGGGAAACAGAGGTTTCACTTTGTCTCTACTACTGTACCTTAAATTATGTATACTAGGGGTGTGTTTCTTTCCCTTTCAAGACGATTCGATACGTATCTAGATACTTGGGCTCCGATACGATATAGGAACGATACGTTTAAGTTTGAAACGATTCTGTGCGATTCGGTTTGAGTAGAGAACGAATCGATGCGATTTGATGCGACACGATTCGATGCAGAAATATTTGTTGCATAAACACATTCATTTTCACATTCAATATCTGCTGCTGATGGAGCTCCTGAGCTGGGCCTCTCTGAGCTGATTCATCTGATCTGACGTGTGTGTGTGTGTGTGTGTGTGTGTGTGTGTGTGTGTGTGTGTGTGTGTGTGTGTGTGTGTGTGTGTGTGTGTAAATGATGTATGTCTATGGTGTATGTACCATGTAGGCACCTGAGCCACCCCACTGTCAGATTAGGAGAGGACGCATCAGTTGTCACAAAAGATGAGAGGTATTTCCGGAAGGTAGAAAGAATGTAATATGAGCAAAACATTTTAGTGAACCAGCGATTCGTAACGTTTGAATAAATTTTCTGACCGATCCATGCTACATTTGGATCGGTTTGGGGTCCGCGGAACGATGCACTTGTATCTTATTAAACATTTGAATAGGGGACCGATGCGTATCGGTGAATCGATACATCCCTAATGTATATTCAAATCAAATCAAATATTATTTGTCACATACACGTGTTTAGCAGATGTTATAGCGGGTGTAGCGAAATGCTTGTCTGTGTAGTGGAAGGGAAGTGTTGTCTGTGTTTCTGATATAGAATGACTTTAGTGTATACATACAGTATATATACTGTATACTGTTCTATATTTATTACTTGTTACCTAGCCTGTCCAGAAATACTCAGATAACTCTCTCTTGAGATTGGCATTGAGTTGTACTTGATGTGACGTTATTGCAGCCAAGTGCACTTCATGTGTGATATGGGTCGAGGTCATAAGTCACAATGTTTCCTGTGTGTGTGTGTGTGTGTGTGTGTGTGTGTGTGTGTGTGTGTGTGTGTGTGTGTGTGTGTGTGTGTGTGTGTGTGTGTGTGTGTGTGTGTGTGTGCAGATGGAGGATAAGAACAGGCAGCTGCAGGAGCGTTTGGAGCTAGCAGAGCAGAAGCTGCAGCAGACCATGAGAAAGGCTGAGACCCTGCCAGAGGTGGAGGCTGAACTGGCCCAGAGGATAGCAGCACTCACCAAGGTGAGAGGACACACTCACACACACACACACTTGTATGCATGCAGACACACACGCAGCACACATTGCTCCCATCATTAAAGTAACTCCAGTGTTTCCAGATTTCTATGAAATATGACCTATAATTAATTACAATATGAGTGAAATAGTTTTCCTTCCCCAGAAATGTCATTAATTATGTTAAAAAGCAGCTTTTCTGTGTTGGAATGGTGTGGGCGTACCCCATCAACAGAATGCTATGGGCATATACCGGTCATTAAAAGCATTAATGCGAGTAGACCGCTGATTGGCTTGCTCATCCTCCTCAGGAGGATGACATCATCCTCTATGAGGAAATAGCAAGCATTTTTTAAACAGTCTGTTTGAGATACAAGGTTTGAGGTGGGGTTTTTGAAGTGTTTTTTTCTCCCAATGTATGCTTTGGCCACATACGAGTATAGGATGAGTCAACAACATTATTTGGGTATGCGTTAACAGCATTTTAACTTTAAAAATTTGAGATTTTCACTTGACAGTTACTTTAACCACTCCATCATATTCCAAGAGAGGTCATTTCAAAACTGGTTATGTATAACTGATTATCATCATACATGAGTGTGTCTTTTTAATGATGTGTTGTTTGTTATGTGCTAGTATGTGTAGGCTATGCATGCCATCACCTCTGACCCTGTGATATGTTCCTCTCCTCTCCTGCTGCCCCATAGTCTGACTCGAGCTCCGCCTCCTCTCCTGATGATTATCAGTTTGTTATGGAAGCTAAACTCCAAGACATGAACTCCATTCTTAGGAAGGTAGTCCCACAGGGTGCCACAGTACTGTCGCTAACTACTAGACTATATTTAAAAAGATCCATGCTGGTTTTATTTATTTCTGTTGTCACAAGTCATTGTACTGGGATTGCTTGTGGGGAATATTTGTTTTTCCTTGTGTCCGTAGGCAGGGTTGAAACAGTGGGAAAAGTTGCATGTCACTGGCTGGGCTCATTGCTAGTAGACTTAACTGCTGCAGCAACTGCTTGTGACCTGGCCCCTCTCTCACCCCTCTCTCTACCTGTGCTTTAGTGATCTATCTGTTCCATCTGAGATTGGGGGAGTAGAGGTTTTTGGCTCTGTCTTGCCTTGTTGCCCCTGCATTATGTGCCTGTGTTGCCCTCCATGGCTGCTAAACTGGCGGGTCACTGTGTCCCCCTGCCCCCCTCTCTCCCCCCCCCCCCCATTCCTGCCTGTGTGGTGGCCCCTGCAGGCAGAGGAGCGCCACGGCAGCATCGAGGAACGCATGAGGCACCTGGAGGGCCAGCTGGAGGAGAAGCACCAGGAGCTGCTCAGAGTGAGTCACCCCCGGGGGAATATGCTAACATGCTAGGCTAGGTTATGCTACATGCCACCTGTTTGCTGACCATGGGCAGCCTAGCGTGCTAGCTGCCATAAGGCTAGTATGCTAGGTTAAGCTAAATGCCACCCATCACAGACTGGCTTCATTGCACCTGCTCCTCATATAAGTTTAAGAGAATGACTTTGCACTATCCAGTTGACTTGTTTATGGTTAGATAATTGGCTAGTATGGTAAGACATACTGTCAAGCTTCTGCTTTTAAAGTCACACACTTTGTATTTTTTGTCCCCCTCAGGCTCGGCAGAGAGAAAAGATGAATGAGGAACACAACAAGCGCCTGTCGGACACGGTGGACAGACTTCTCACAGAGTCCAACGAACGTCTTCAGCTCCACCTCAAGGAGAGGATGGCTGCTCTGGAAGAGAAGGTTAAACATGGAGACCACATCAATAGCAACATGTCATAAAGTTTTATTTCAGACGAATTTTAGGAAATGGCCATAGATTGACTGGAATACTTCACTTTCCATTTCAGAACGTTTTAATACAAGACTCGGAAGGCTACAGAAAACAGTACGAGGATTCAATCCATGAAAAAGTAGGTCCCCCCGGATCACAAATGATTACATTTTTCTCTCCCTCATTTTTGAATTTTACATGAGGTTGGTTTAATAAAGTGCTTTTTAATAGATAAATATGATCTGGGTGTTGGGTTTAATTTGTTATCATCTTCTCTATTGAATATTCACAAGTAACCGTTGCTCTCGGTTCAGATAGTGAGATAGAAATCCCTAACCAGGCAGAGTTTGAGAACTGACTAGCAAGTGCTGTCCAATCATGTTGTGGAAATTGAAATTGAAATCCAGGGTTTTACAGTAATGAATAAGAAACTTCACAAGGTTTTCTGTACACCTCATATTGTCCCTTTTTTCCGGCTTCCCTCCAGACTCATCTGGCAGATGAAATAGACAAGCTGAGATCAGAGCTGGACCAGTTCCGACTGAGAACAGGCTCCCTCACAGAACCCACTCTGTCACGGTATGGGTGAGTTTGTAGGACAGTGTGTGTGTGTGTGTGTGTGTGCATATACACTGAGTGTACAAAACATTAAGAACACCTTCCTAATATTGAGTTGCAACCCCCCTTTTTGCCCTCAGAACAGCCTCAATTCGTCGGGGCATGGACTCTACAAGGTGTCGAAAGCTTTCCACAGGGATGCTGGCCCATGTTGACTCCAATGCTTCTCACAATTGTGTCAAGTTGGCTGGATGTCCTTTGGGTGGTGGACCATTCTTGATACACACGGGAAACTGTTGAGCGTGAAAAACCCAGCACAGTTGCAGTTCTTGACACAAACCAGTGCCCCTGGCACCTACTACCATACTCTGTTCAAACACACTTCAATATTTTGTCTTGCCCATTCACCTTCTGAATGGCACACATACACAATCCATGTCTCAATTGTCTCAAGGCTTAAAAATCCTTTCCCAACAACTCCATTTAGATTCAGCTACATTTCTCTGAGATGATTAGAGATAACATCACTATGTAGATCCTTCTGTTGTCCCTCTATACTACATCATTAAAAAGCATTCCACAGGTTGCCACACAAATGTGTGATCACAATGCAAGCATCACGACTGGTCTGTCTAGATAACAAGCAGCCATTACAAGCATCATTTGATTCGGTCCTGATTCTGTCACAGATCTTACGTATAAAGCACTACATTGTAGCCAAGTCATCAGAATTGATAGCTAACACATGGACTGTATGTTCCTTGCACAAATTGCTGTTTGCAATGCTGCCTTCGTTTGAAAACAAAGAAGTGTTGTTATGGTGTCTGACATGCATGTTCTCCTCTCTCTCTTTCGCTATCTATCTATCTATCTATCTATCTATCTATCTATCTATCTATCTATCTATCTATCTATCTATCTATCTATCTATCTATCTATCTATCTATCATCATCTATCTAGCTATCTATCTATCTATCACTATCTATCTATCTATCTATCTATTCTATCTATCTATCTATCTATCTATCTATCTATCTATCTATCTATCTATCTATCTATCTATCAATCAATCAGGTCTCACCTGGATACGTCGGGGGAGCTCCGCTTCTCCCTGGGCTCCCTGGCTGAGACCCAGTCAGACCACTACCGGTCAGCCAAGGTCATCCGCAGGCCCAGGAGAGGACGCATGGGTCTCCGCAGGGATGAGAGCAAGGTCAGGAACTAGTCTCTCTCTGGTCAGCCCTGGCTGAGGTAGAAGCAGGAGTAGAACTATTCTATCAGTAGAATAGTTCAGGGGCTATTCTACTGATCCATTAAGTCAGGAAAGCTTAAACAAGTACAGATAAAGTATTTGAACTCAGGTCTGTATGACATACATGGTTTCATGGAGCCAGACTGTTAGCATTAGCAAGACAGAGGGGAAAACTGTTGGATAATTGTTATAAAGTGCTACTGTTACCGTGTCTCAGGATTGTAACATAAATCACGATGAAGACTGAAATAACCTGGAGTTAAATACTGAGATTCAGCATTAATCTGAGAAGCTTGTTTCAGCATATTTTTATATTTATTAAAAAGTCTTTAATGGCTTATTGAGATACTTTGGGGCGTATTCAAAGTCAAGCCTCATTATTTTGTCTAATGAAAGGAGAATTAGTAGAGAACTTGTAGGCTCCTTGAAGCTGTCAGCTTTACTTAGCCAATTATTTTATAAAACCAGAATACTGTATATGCATTATTGGATGCATTAATCATAATGTGTGCTGTAATATTTGTACAGTGCAAAAAAATATTCAAGTCTCTTTATCATAAAACGTTCACATCTCTCTACAGTTACAGTTGAAGTCGGAAGTTTACATACACCCTTAGCCAAATACATTTAAACTCAGTTTTTTCACAATTCCTGACATTTAATCCTAGTAAAAATTCCCTGTCTTAAGTCAGTTAGGATCACCACTTTAATTTAAGAATGTGAAATGTCAGAATAATAGTAGAGAAAATGATTTATTTCAGCTTTTATTTATTTCATCACATTCCCAGTGGATCAGAAGTTTACATACACTCAATTAGTATTTGGTAGCATTGCCTTCAAATTGTTTAACCTGGGTCAAACGTTTCGGGTAGCCTTCCACAAGCTTCCCACAATAAGTTGGGTGAATTTTGGCCCATTCCTCCTGACAGAGCTGGTGTAACTGTGTCAGGTTTGTAGGCCTCCTTGCTCACACACGCTTTTTCAGTTCTGCCCACACATTTTGTATAGGATTGAGGTCAGGGCTTTGTGATGGCCACTCCAATACCTTGACTTTGTTGTCCTTAAGCCCTTTTGCCACAACTTTGGAAGTATGCTTGGGGTCATTGTCCATTTGGAAGACCCATTTGCGACCAAGCTTTAACTTCCTGACTGATGTCTTGAGATGTTGCTTCAATATATCCACATAATCTTCCTTCCTCATGATGCCATCTATTTTGTGAAGTGCACCAGTCCCTCCTGCAGCAAAGCACCCCCAAAGCATGATGCTGCCACCCCCGTGCTTCACGGTTGGGATGGTGTTCTTCGGCTTGCAAGTTCCCCCTTTTTCCTCCAAACATAATGATGGTCATTGTGGCCAAACAGTTCTATTTTTGTTTCATCAGACCAGAGGACATTTCTCCAAAAAGTAAGATATTTGTCCCCATGTGCAGTTGCAAACCGTAGTCTGGCTTTTTTATGGCGGTTTTGGAACAGTGGCTTCTTCCTTGCTGAGTGGCCTTTCAGGTTATGTCGATATAGGACTTTTTTTTACTGTGGATATAGACTTTTGTACCGGTTTCCTCCAGCATCTTCACAAGGTCCTTTGCTGTTGTTCTGGGATTGATTTGCACTTTTCACACCAAAGTACGTTCATCTCTAGCAGACAGAATGCGTCTCCTTCCTGAGCGGTATGACGTCTGCGTGGTCCCATGGTGTTTATACTTGCGTACTATTGTTTGTACAGATGAACGTGGAACCTTCAGGCATTTGGAAATGTCTCCCAAGGATGAACCAGACTTGTGGAGGTCTACAATTTATTTTCTGAGGTCTTGGCTGATTTCTTTTGATTTTCCCATGATGTCAAGCAAAGAGGCACTGAGTTTGAAGGTAGGCCTTGAAATACAGCCACAGGTACACCTCCAATTGACTCAAATGATGTCAATTAGCCTATCAGAAGCTTCTAAAGCCATGACATCATTTTCTGGAGTTTCCCAAGCTGTTTAAAGGCACAGTCAACTTAGTGTATGTAAACTTCTGACCCACTGGAATTGTGATACAGTGAATTATAAGTGAAATAATCTGTCTGTAAACAATTGTTGGAAAAATTACTTGTGTCATGCACAAAGTAGATGTCCTAACCAACTTGCCAAAACTATAGTTTGTTAACAAGAAATTTGTGGAGTGGTTGAAAAACAAGTTTTCAATGACTCCAACCTAAGTGTATGTAAACTTCCGACTTCAACTGTATGTCATTCTGCCCATGATGCTTTACCAGGATTACCTCAACAACACTCCCTTCCCTTGATTAGTACACACTTCCCTTGATTAGTGCACACTTCTGTATCTGTAAACCCTCCCTCCCCCCTACAGGCTAAGTCACTGGGGGAGCACGAGTGGCGGTCTCAGCAGCTAGGCATCCTGGGTAGCCACCCCTTTGAGAGTGAGATGTCTGACATGTCGGACATTGATGATGATGACCGGGAGACCATGTTCAGCTCCATGGACCTGCTGTCCCCCGGCGGTCACTCAGACGCCCAGACCCTGGCCATGATGCTGCAGGAGCAGCTGGACGCCATTAACAAAGAGATACGGTAAGGGACTTTAACCCAGCTCTTATTGGACAGACCATGCTAGGGACCAGACATTTACCTGACTTTAACACTGCTCTTATTGGACAGACCATGCTAGGGGCCAGACATTTACCTGACTTTAACCCATCTCTTATTGGACAGACCATGCTAGGGGCCAGACATTTACCTGACTTTAACACTGCTCTTATTGGACAGACCATGCTAGGGACCAGACATTTACCTGACTTTAACACTGCTCTTATTGGACAGACCATGCTAGGGACCAGACATTTACCTGACTTTAACACTGCTCTTATTGGACAGACCATGCTAGGGACCAGACATTTACCTGACTTTAACCCAGCTCGTATTGGACAGACCATGCTAGGGACCAGACATTTACCTGACTTTAACACTGCTCTTATTGGACAGACCATGTAGGGACCAGACATTTACCTGACTTTAACACTGCTCTTATTGGACAGACCATGCTAGGGACCAGACATTTACCTGACTTTAACACTGCTCTTATTGGACAGACCATGCTAGGGACCAGACGTTTACCTGACTTTAACCCAGCTCGTATTGGACAGACCATGCTAGGGACCAGACATTTACCTGACTTTAACCCAGCTCTTATTGGACAGACCATGCTAGGGGCCAGACATTTACCTGACTTTAACCCAGCTCTTATTGGACAGACCATGCTAGGGGCCAGACATTTACCTGACTTTAACCCAGCTCTTATTGGACAGACCATGCTAGGGACCAGAGAAAAACTCTGGGCTTCCTGGTCAGGTCAAGTTGTATGTTATGCGGATAAAGTTCCTTGGGAAACATTACTGACACATTGATTTAATTCATCCATGTTGATCACTTCATTGTTGATCTGAAAAATATGCCTCTTAGTGCTTGATATGAGGGAGAGTTTCTGGGTGTCGGCCTAGCTATCTCCACCCCTAAGACTGGCTCATCCTATCAGTGAGCTCCGTGCCTTGGGTTTCTGTGGTGATGGAATTGAATTAATGAGAGTAATTGATTGGATATCCAGGGATGTGTGTGGACACACTTGTCTTCAGGGCTGAAGCTTGTTGGCTCTTGTCTGCAGAGTGTGATGCCCTGTCTAGATGAATTAAACACAAACCTCAAATACTAGCAGTTACAGTACCTAGAAATGCTGCGAGGAGCTGACACTGATACACTGTAGTTTTATGCAAGTATTGATCATTTACCTAGTTAGCTGTCAGAATAATCTAATTTATTAAGATAATTAACGCTTGGTTAACATTGGGAGCCAAACAACAATATTTACTGGTTTGGGCTTATTCAAGGTCTGTTACTTGCTTGTTAATATTGTCATTATCTTCTTGTCTGGTGATTAGCCAAACATTAGTACACACAACCCCAAGCTTAAGTGACATTTTGAAGTGAAGTGTTGTTAATTTTCCTAAGGCCTTCATTGCTTTTTTGCTTATAAGCACAATCGATAGAGACATGCCTCATCAGGGTGATTTCTGGGAAAGTATATGCTGAGTTGGAATACGATTTCAGCTCCGATGGCAGATAGGAATATGGAGCTCTGGGAATTAAATTCTAAACTAATTAGTAAACTGTTCGCCTATATGGTTTATGGGTAATGAACTGGCTTTTTGTCTCCCTGCTTTGCCTTTAAGAGGAGCCCTATGGGTCTGCAGTGGAGATTTCCATGAACATCCAGAGAATTTAACCACAAAGGACCAAGGGATTCTGAGAATTCTCAGAATACTGTTGGGTGAATGAGCTTTCTATATATTCAGTGTCTGAATGTGGAGGGGGGGATACAACTGTGAAATAAGTCTAATCAATCCCTCCCTCCCTCTCTGCCTCCCCCTCGACCTCCCTCCCAGACTGATCCAGGAGGAGAAGGAGTCGACAGAGCTGCGGGCGGAGGAGATAGAGAACCGTGTGGCCAGCGTCAGCCTGGAGGGCCTCAACCTGGCTCGCATGCACCACCCTGGAGCCTCCATCACTGCCTCGGCCACCGCCTCCTCCCTGGCCTCCTCCTCCCCGCCCAGCGGACACTCCACCCCCAAGTTGGACCACCGCAGCACCGCAGACATGGAGCGTATGGGCATCATGACACTGGTACGCTTCTGGGGGCAGGACGGGGTGTGGTGGTGGTGGGGGGGGGGGGGGGGTCTGTGTGTGCGTACGTACGTGCGTGTGTGTATGTACGAGTGTATCCCAGTCTTGACGAAGGCTACCCCAGCCGTATCGTGCTCTGTCTGTATTGTAGTGCAGGACAGGGCCAATAGAAGCGCCTGGGTTCAGTATTCACAGTAAGCTGGGTTTGGCCTCTCTTTCTTTGTTCTCAGTATATCTTTATTCTCAGCCTTGCTCTTTCAATAGACCTCATACGGCTACTTCACCTGAGCTGCACTTGATTATGCTATAACGGAGAGTCAACTCAATTTGATGGCAAACTAGTAACCTCAAAAGACCCTGGACCAGATTTCAAAGCAGCTCTGAGACAGAGAGCCAGACTTTGATTTTTTCATAAGCCAGCCACTTGTAAAAGCATGTATTGGCTTTCTTTCAACTTGATTTAGATGGTGTTCTTTCATTCTTAGTGCGTTGATGGATTGAGTTGCATAATCTATCTGGCTGGGGTTCATTACTCCTTCATCCTAGAGCTTGGCTTGGTTTGTGTGTGTTGTAGATGCCAGGATGTGATAGTCTGTGCTATGTTTGTTTACTATGTTTAAAGGACTTCAGAAGATGTTTTTATATTTTGCCACTTACTATTGTCCCATTGAGCAATAAAGGTACTGTCTACGTTAGGTCAATAAAAGTACTGTCTACATTAGGTCAATAAAAGTACTGTCTACTTAGGTCAATAAAAGTACTGTCTACGTTAGGTCAATAAAAGTACTGTCTACGTTAGGTCAATAAAAGTACTGTCTACGTTAGGTCAATAAAAGTACTGTCTACGTTAGGTCAATAAAAGTACTGTCTACGTTAGGTCAATAAAAGTACTTTACTTAGGTCATAAAGTACTGTCACATTAGGTCAATAAAAGTACTGTCTACGTTAGGTCAATAAAAGTACTTTACTACATTAGGTCAATAAAAGTACTTCTACTTAGGTCAATAAAGTACTTCTACTTAGGTCAATAAAAGTACTTTCTACAGTTAGGTCAACAAAAGTACTGTCTACGTAGGTATAAAAGTTACTTTCTACATTAGGTCAATAAAAGTACTTTCTACTTAGGTCAATAAAAGTACTTTCTACATTAGGTCAATAAAAGTACTTTCTACATTAGGTCAATAAAAGTACTTTCTACATTAGGTCAATAAAAGTACTTTCTACATTAGGTCAATAAAAGTACTTTCTACATTAGGTCAATAAAAGTACTTTCTACATTAGGTCAATAAAAGTACTTTCTACATTAGGTCAGACTGTTGCAACACTTCCCTGTCATGTGCCTTGGTACATTGGTTGTTTTTACTGGTGTGTAGCTCTAGCTGCTCCATCTTCTGATGTAGACAATACTACCGAGGAAAATAGGTCTGCCCTGATGAATCCCCAGATGACATTATTGAATGCCAGGCTAGAAATAGACACATAAAGATGAACTGATCAGTTGACTGTGTGTACCGCCGATCTTTGTCTGTCTGTCTGTCTCTGTCTGTCTGTCTGTCTGTCTGTCTGTCGTCTGTCTTAGTCTGTTGTCGTCTTAGTCCTGTCTGTCTGTCTGCTGTCCTGTCTGTCTGTCGTTGTCTGTCTGTCTGTCTGTGTCTGTCTGTTGTCGTTGTCTGTGTAGTCACAGTCAGTCAGCAGCACACAATCACGCTGACCCAGGGCTGTAGTGCTCCAGATGTCCTCATCACAGGGAGTCTTTCTCTTTTTTCCAATCCTCCACTGGGCTAAAAATATTCAAATCCCCACAATCCATCCATCCAGCCATCCAGCCAGCCAGCCAGCCCAGCCAGCCAGCCAGCAGCCACCCAGACAGTCTCAGAGCTTGAATGTTGCCAATACCCAGGGGCTTTTAAAGAATGAACCTTTAATTTTATTGACCTCTCAAATGAATAGTGGCAATGCAGGTGATTTTGTTAACAAATCACTGTAATTGATTGTGTGGTGCAATGTGTAATGGACGGGGCATGTGCCCACCTGATGGTATATTGGCTATATGTCTATAACTTATAAATGAGGTGTTTCTATATGGGCGGGGGACATTTATTTAATCTTACTGATTTATTGTAAATGGATGTTTTCCATTTTCTTTCCTGTCCTCCACCCTGCAGCCCAGTGATCTGAGGAAACACAGGAGAAAGGTACAGTAGCAATGATATGTTCATTTTATTACATTAGACATTTCAAATTCATAGTACCTCTGTCTTCCTGTAATGATTGTCATGGTCTGGTGTATCCTTGCCATTATTGGAATCTGAAGGCCTATAAGCAATGTTCCTATAAGCAACAGTGTTGTAGAGATTGATGTGTGAGGTGATACTATACTAGTTTAATAAGAGCTACTAACAGGTCTCTTCACCTCTCCACGGTCAGATTGCGGCCACCGACGATGACGGCCAGGACAAGGCTACCATCAAGTGTGAGACGTCCCCTCCCCCCACGCCCCGGACCGTACGCATGACCCGCACACTGCCAGCCTCCTCACACAACGAGCCCGGGGGTATGTTGCACTTATAGCGCACGCACGCAACCATACACACATACACACACACACAACAACTCCACCTTCTTCATCCTGACGGTAATTTATAAGACAAATTGTCTCTTACCCAAGTTGTATCTTTATCCTGACGTGCGTTGCTGCTTTGTGTGTGTGTGGTGTGTGTGGTGTGTGGTGCGTCGTGCGTCGTGCGTGCGCGTGTGTGTTTGCAGCATTGCTGCCAGCCTGGAGGCTGAGGCCAGTGCTCTGAGCAGCATAACCAGCAGTCAGGACTCCATCAACAAGCAGCCCAAGAAGAAGGGCATCAAGTCCTCCATCGGACGCCTGTTTGGCAAGAAGGAGAAGACCAGACTGGCACAGCTGCATGCCCACAGGGAGGCCATCGGGCAGAGCCAAGGTACTGGTCTACACTCAGCACCTCTCTGATATGAATGGCTCCAATCTGTTCTACATACTTTGGTTAATGAGTAGTCATACATTTACATTTGAGTAATTTAGCAGACGCTCTTATTCAGAACGACTTACAGGAGCAAATAGGGTTAAGTGCCTTGCAAAGGGGTTAATACTTTCTCAAATCAAATTGTATTAATCACATGCGCCGAATACAACAGGTGTAGACTTTACCGTGAAATGCTTGCTTACGAATATTTCCCAACGATGCAGAGTTTAAAAAAATTATGATACAAAATAAAATAGAGGAGTAAAATAAAATACACAATAATGGAGCTATATACAGGGAGTACCAGTACCAGATCAATAATGGAGCTATATACAGGGAGTACCAGTACCAGATCAATAATGGCACTATATACAGGGAGTACCAGTACCAGATCAATAATGGAGCTATATACAGGGAGTACCAGTACCAGATCAATAATGGCACTATATACAGGGAGTACCAGTACCAGATCAATAATGGCGCTATATACAGGGAGTACCAGTACCAGATCAATAATGGAGCTATATACAGGGAGTACCAGTACCAGATCAATGTGCAGAGGTACGAGGTATTTGAGGTAGATATGAAGGCAGGGTAGTGACTAGGAATCAGGATAGATAACAATAAGAGTAAAATAAAGAACAGAGCAGCAGCAGCAAAGGATGAGTGTGTGTGTGCGTGTGTGTATGCATGTTTGTTTGTTTGTATTGTGTCGGTATGCGTGTGTGTGTTACGTGTGTGTGTGCGTCTGGATTTGTGTATGAGTGACAGTGTAGTGTGTCTGAGTGAGTGTGTATATGGTGTGTAAATATCGTCTAGTGAGTGTGCATAGGATCAGTGCAAGATAGAGTCAGTGCAGATAGTTTTGGTACCATTCATTGACTATTTAGCAGTCTGGCTATTTAGCAGCCTTATGGTTTAGGGATAGAAGCTGTCTCGGAGCCTGTTGGTCCGAGACCCGGTGCTCCTGTACCGTTTGCCAAACGGTAGCAGAGTGAACAGTCTATGGCTTGTGTGACTGGAGTTATTTTTCGGGCCTTCTGACACCGCCTGATATAGAGGTCCTGGATGGCAGGGAGCTCGGCCCCAGTGATGTAAAGTGCTGGCCGCACCACCCTTTGTATCGCTTTGCAGTCAAGGGCGGTGCAATTGCCATACCAAGCGGTGATGCAGCCAGTCAAGATGCTCTCGATGGTGCAGCTGTAGGACTTTTTGAGGATCTGAGGGCCCGAATGTGCCTGTATTATGTTAGATGATACTTGTCACAGGGGTTATTACTTGCCATCTCACCACCCAAACATCACCTCTAATGACGCTGCCATCTGTGTGAAGTAGATATGTGTTATATGACTATGAACAAGCGTAAACTCTCCGTTGAGTACAGATTCAGAGGAAGTAAGGGTGGCTCCTTGCTAGTACTGTCTGGATACTATCTACAGTGGATGATTTCTGTGAGCCATGCAGGCAGTGCAGTAACGTCCCATTCTCCCTCTCCCACAGGAGTGTCTGATCCAGACCTGGGTCAGGACATGGCTGTGGGGAAGCTGGGGACTCAGGCTGAGAAAGACCGCCGGCTGAAAAAGAAGTAAGCTTTCACAACACCCCCCTCCGGCCCCTCAAACCTGCCACCACAGCATTTCACACAAAAAAAAAAACAACATTGCGCTCAATAATACTCTATTGGCTCACATCACAGCCAGTGGGAGAGAAATCATACCTGTGTCACTAGAAACACTGTGGGCAATGAACCACACCAGCACTAACACCCACCTGTGATAATCTACTGTACATTACACCATTGTATTAGTGTTATGATACACACGCCTTTTTATGTGCCAGACAGCACCTGCAGAACCTGCAGTGCCTGTCTATAGTCAAGCTGAATAAAGATCATTATCCTCTTTCCAACCTTTGACCCCTTACACAGTGGCTGGTGAGGAATCCCTGTGGGGTTTCATTAGTCCTTTCCCTGTATAGGAGGCAGTTGCCCATGTGGCTGGATAGAAGATACATCTCCAATACTCCCACTCTCCAGCAGAGAGGATCAATACAGACCAGGAACCTGAATAGACATACAATAGAGGGATCCCCCCAACCAAACACACACAGTCAGACTATTGATTGGGTTAGAAGTCTATTCATGTCACACATGTAGGCCTACGATTCTTAGTTTATGGTTTTGGTTTGGTTTTCCAGATATAGTCCTCCTTTAAACCCACACATGAATTACAAAATCAGGGGGGTTTCCCTCATGTACAAGTTTAATCTCCCTTCAACTGGGGATGTATGTGTCTACCTTGTCAGTGCCACATGACAAATGCGTTCTCTATAGGCGAGCATTGAGTTGTCATGACAAATAACTTTCCCACCCTTACAGATGATCAATAGAAGGTATTATGATGATGGCAAATGTGTGTTTTTATTTGAGCTCGATTCTCCAGTTTTCCAGGAATTGGACCGCCTTGCATCTTGATGCTCTCCTCCAGTGCATGCTATTGAACTGCCTGCTGAATTTACATTTTCAGCCTGGTCAATATCGTGATCGTGCATTGGTTCATTGCTGATGTGTGTTGTGGTAATGTTTGGCATTTGGCTGGTTTGTTCCTGTGAAGAATGTGAACCAATGCATTGCAGGTGTCTTGCCCCAAGTGCATTATCTTTCGTCTGCCTGCACGCGATGCTGTAAAAAGCTGCATCGACCAAAAGAAGAAGAAAGTGGCCTTTCTTTTGCTAACCAATACTACTCTTTGACTTGTCATTCTACTGTTCTAATGTCAGTCTTTGGAAAAAGCTCTTGTCACATGTCTACTTGAGAGACTGTTTCTATTCTGCAGTGTGTGTGTGTGGGTGCCTGCGTCCATGTGTGTGTGTTTGTATATGTGTCCGTGCATGTATGGGCAGTGTGTGTGTTTGTGCATTCGTGTGTGTTTGGGGGCAGGGGTGGTAAGGGGGTGCTGTTAACTCATTAACGTCTGTGCACTTTTTGTCTCCCGTCACTTTCTCTTCCTCTCTCTCTCCTCGCACTCTTCCTCCCTCCCTCTCATCATATGACTAAAGAAGCGGGTAAGTTGTGACAGTGTGACACCTGGACATCTCCATTGTCAGCGCTGTGCCGTCTGTCCACCTCTCTGTCCATCCATCTGTCCCCCTCCCAACGGCCGGTGCCAAAGCTGACGTCACTCTGTCCTCTATGGCAGTTAAGGACCCCTTGCTTTCTATCTTTCTTCCTTCCTTTCGCTCTTTTGATCTTTTCATTTACCGTATAAAATGTTTCTCCCCCACAGTGCAGTGGCGGCTGCATCCATGGCTGGACAAAGAATGTGTGCCGTCACCCGTTAATGGGGTTGATTTTTATACCTGGAATGTCCAATACCTTCCTCCCTCCTTGTGTTTCTATATCTGTGACTGTGAGATATAACCGGTTCTGATACCGGGTTATGGGGCGTCAAATCTTGTTGTTGTTTTATTTTCTTTGTCATAACTGTTTCCTTCCTTTCCTAGCTAAGTTCAGTGGATGTACATCTCATGCATAAGAACCTGACATGAACATATCTATCTATATACCTGTTGTATTGATACGACACTGAATGAAAAAATTGAATATTGATTGATATCAATGGACACATCTCCTACGTTGTGTGTCAGTCCATTCAGTCTTTGTATGCTGTATTCAAGTGCCCTTTCTCTGCACTGAGGCCTTCAACTCTGAACGAGTCACATACATAATGTGTTACATACCTTTTCTCCATAGGCCTCATGTTGACCACTATGTCTCGAGTTGGAAGACATTTTAGCTGCACTACAAGAACTTGTTTCTGCCTTAGAACTCTCATGAAGTATTCTGTTCACTGAATAGAATTGTAACTTCAGAAGTCAGTTTTTATGTCCATTTTTATGTGTATAGCATGTTGTGTGAGTTATGTATTAATCAGCTCAACAGGCCCTCTCTATATTCAGACTCTTAGCTCTGTTGACAAACCAAACTCAGCGTATACACTATGAACTGTCTTTAGGAAGTAACGTTCCACAGTTAGGTATCTCTCTAGCGTAGCCTCTCTGGTTATTTTCTACACCATAGGCCTCCCATCCATCTGCTCCCCAACTCCATTAATTAGCACATTAGTGTGCACATGGCAATAAAGATGAGACACACACACACACCCGAACACATATTTATATAGACTGTTCATCAGTTCTCTGTCTCTCACTCTGCCTAACAGAGTTGGCGTCGCAGGAATCAGCATATTACAAATTGCCTGGGTAAAGAGAACATCTATCTGCTCTCCTCTGCTCTCCCTAGATAAGGTGCAATTTACTCTGAGCTGAGTAGGGCGGTGGGAGTGCTTAGCACAGCTTTCAAAGTGGTGCTCAGCACAAATAACACATTTCTCTATTTCACTCCGGCCATCTTAGTTCACCTATTGAACACTTCCACCGCCACACAAAAATGCAGTATTCACTTTTTTTTGGCCCAAAGAATGTGAATAAAGACGCCAAACACGATTTAAAGATGGCCAGAAAGAATACATTCAGCAAGACTCTCAAAAGGGTATCACAGTCAGCCGAAAAAGCCCAGTCTCTCTGTAGTTAGTATCTCAGCAGTAGTAATACATTCCCAGCTGCAGCACAGAGACAAGTGGAGATTGATGGTTCTTCAGATTAGCAACTCAAAGTCAGGCTTCAGTGAGCAGCCCAGCAGCCCTAGCTGTCCCTTGAAGGTGTGTCTCTGGACCAGATGGTGAGACAGAGAGAGGGGCAGAGAGAAAGAGAGAGAGGGAGAGCGGCAGAGAGAAAAAGAGGCAGAGAGAGAAGGGCAGACAGAGAGATAGGGAGAGGTAGAGAGACAGACAGAGAGGGAGAGAGAGGCACAGAGCGAGAGAGAGAGGGGCAGAGAGAGAGAGTACTCATTTTACAGGCAGTGAGTGTGGAGAGATTGGGCTGTGTCCTTTTAGAAATCTCTGGTCTGTGAGAGATAAAGTGTGTGGCACTGTACAGTGAACACACACACACACACACACACACACACACAAAATCTCTGTGTAATACTAGTGCCTTGTGTGTGTGTGTGGGGGGGGGGGTCTCAGTGTATGTGTGTGTGCAGTGCATTAATCCCATGTCTCTGCTCCCGCCCTCAGGCACGAGCTATTGGAAGAGGCGAGGAGGAAAGGCTTACCTTTCGCCCAATGGGACGGCCCCACAGTGGTGGCCTGGCTGGAGGTAGGCACTCCTCTACTCTGGCCTGGAGCCATTCTCAATCCTCCTGCCTCTGGGATAGATTTACAAGGTCTGTGCCAGACCCCCACTCTGTGAAGAAGATAATATTCTCCGCCCCAGTGAGGTGGTCTATTCCTCCATGACTTCCCAGTCTGCACACTCAGCATTCACCTGAGATACGACACCCATTATTCTCTAACCTTTGAACCGTTGATGATGTTTCACACTTCAAATCAATTACCCGATGCCTTTCCACAGCCTAATGGTTCTCCCTTTCCAATACGGCACTTCGAAATGCAAACCAGATACTTTCCTTTAATCAAAACATGACTGGTAATGGATATGGAATGACACAGTGCTGTTATGTAATCGTTGGATGTATTGTGTTGTAATTACGACGCAGGGAACTCTAATGCCGCAGTCAGCATGTTACCGAGAGTTATTAATAAGTGATTACGCCTCCGGCTGACATTACTCTTTGTGCTTTATTATATTAAGTCTATTATCTAATCTAGTGTTTCCCAGCTCCAGTCCTCCCGTACCCCCAACAGTACTCCATTTTATTGTAGCCCTGGACAAGCACACCTGATTCAACCTGTCAACTAATCATCAAGCCCTAAATGAGTTGAATGAGGTGTGTTTGTCCCGGGCTACAAAAAAAATGTGTACTGTTGGGGGTACTTGAGGAATGGAGTTGGGAAACACTCTGGCAATGGGCCTATGGGACCAGCAGTGGATTGAATCTGGATCTCACTGATATTATGGGAAACAATGTCCCATATTTTGATGTCACCTTGGTGGAAGCCTCAGAGGGCTGTTGGTAAAGGTCTACTCTGTGATTTACTATGACATGTTCTCCCCAGCACATCTTTTCCCTGTTAAATCAATTACAAATGGGTTTGATTATAATTGATTGAAATTACACCTCATAAAGGCCATAGAGTGATGTTGTTTAATATCAACATGGGGTGTTCATTAAGTAAATGAATGCGTTGCGTATCAATGAATTATCACAGTTCATTTTCTGTCTTAATTGAAATATCCTATGTCGGTATTCAGTTTTTCTCATTTCGTCACGATAGAACATGCTTGGCATATAAGGTCAACATTTCAACCATGACTGCCCCCTAGTGTTTATCAGTAGATATTTATTAAAACAATGAGTAAAGAAACATTGTTTCTCCCTCTCCCACCACATCACCTATAATTTGTCAAACAAGCTCACTCGCTACTTTACATTAAATCATGGATGGTCTTCCTCCTCCTGTTTCAGTTGTGGCTGGGGATGCCCGCCTGGTACGTGGCGGCATGTCGTGCCAACGTGAAGAGCGGTGCCATCATGTCTGCCCTGTCAGACACAGAGATCCAGAGGGAGATTGGCATCAGTAACCCCCTGCACCGCCTCAAACTACGCCTGGCCATCCAGGAGATGGTCTCCCTCACCAGTCCATCTGCCCCGCCAACCTCCAGAACCGTGAGTGTCCATTGACACACACACACACACACACACACACACACACACACGCACCCACCCATGTATGTAACTGCCATCAGTGTGCTAGCTTAGCATATAGCGCTGCCTCCCAGAACCTGCCTCTGACTGGGCTTTAACCAGGCTCCTCTACCTCACCAACACACGTGACCGCCCGCTTGACAACAAACACATTGAGCTATAGAAAAAGGATCCTATTCGATAGCTCCATCGGCGACATTTCGAGTGCGCTTACGACACGTTCTTAACTCCGATACACACGCATGCACGCACACGCATACATACACACAGACTGTATAGTCTTCAAGGGTAAAGACACTCAAGAAACTCAAAGCTATTTCTGCTACTTTGCATTGTAATGCCTGCACAGTCAGAGAACCTTACTTGTGTACCATCTCTATAATTTGTGTTGGTAACTGAATGTTGGAGAGAGTGGGAGGAGGCGGTTAAGGCTGGCTTGTTTATCACTCAGTAGTGTCAGTCAGCTCATCCACTTAATTGAGCACTGCAGCAGTTGCTCTGATTTACCACACCAGCAGCTATTTTATACCTGTCTGTTTCACAGCTCTGAGTTGTCATGGTGATTTCATGTAACCTCTGAGGAACCTGCTGAGCTTCATGCTACAAACTGTTCATTCTATGTAGCTTTATCACACCCTCAGGCCCACACTAAGGCGCGCACACACACACACACACACACACACAACACTTAAACTGCTCATGAATCTTTCATCAAGGAGCAGTGAACTCTGGGAATGTGACTCTATAGACCCCCCTCTGCCCTAGTGCCCCCTGCTGTGACGGGTGGTCAGTTCCCTGCCCCACTGAACCAAACGGACACTTTAAGTTTACAGTCAGGGTTAATCAACCCTGTAAATGCAGGGGAAGTGTCTAACAAGCAGAACACTTGATGGGGGAAAGGGGGGATATGGAGCAGACTTCTTTATTCGACCAATCACAGGACTTGTTATTCTGCTGCCTTAAAGCTCACAGACAGTGACGTCTGATTCACCCTAAAGGGTCGACCCAAACCATACTGTGCTGCCCAGTACAACTGGGCTTGGCTCGGCTCTATAGTGTGAAACAGGCATGCATGACAGCCCTTTAGTACGGTGTCTTTAATAGAGATTGTCATCCCCTCAAGGGTTCTTATCTAGGTCATGACAGCTTGATCCAGTGGGGCAGCAAAGCACAGCAATCATGGCTGCTAAAATTGAATCAACAACAGTTTAGAATGGGTTAGAAAGGGGTTTAACGGTGTGGTACACTGAGGTATATCAGACTAGACTGAGTGGGTTAGAAAGGGGTTTAACGGTGTGGTACACTGAGGTATATCAGACTAGACTGAGGTGGATATGCATGTTTGTATTTGTGTCTGTTGCTCCCAACACCTGTACTAATCACTACTGCATAAGTTAGGGTGTACACGAGTATTCAGGCTGATGCTAAATGTGGTTCCTTGGCACCGTGTATGTTGCACCTGTGTAGGTGGCTGCCAGTGGGTTGGGTTATGTGTGTGTACATGATGATAGTCAGGCTGTACCGTTGAAAGGTAGGTTATATGGGTGGTATCAGTCTGATTGGGTTAAGAACTAAAGGGGGTTAACTGTGGTACCGAGGTATCAACTGACTGAGTGGTTGGATATGCATGTTTGTATTTGTGTTGTTTGCTCCCAACACCTGTACTAATCCACTACTGCACTAGCTTATGGTGAACCAGTCTTGTCATGCATGCTAAATGTGTTCCTTTGGCACCGTGTATGTTGCACCTGTGTAGGTGGGCTGCCCCAGTGCTCCTGTGTTGTTATGTGTTTGTGATACAGGATCAGATAGTATTTCACCCCTTAAATGGATAAGGTTATGATGGGGGTAGAGTCATCTGATCCTAGATCTGTGGTTAAGGACAACTTCTTCCTCAACAGTTTTGTGTCTGTGTTTGTTTGTGTACTGTGTTGCCCTTTGACCCCAGAGGGGCGGGCCTGCTCATCATCTGACCATGATGCTATAACACTATTGGCTTACAGTGGTGCTGCTCTTCTTCTTTAATACTGCTTGCCCCTCCTGGCGGACTACTACTGCTGCTGCCTTCTCTTGGGCACCGCACTCCTAGCCGTCAGGCAATGTATGGGTGACCCACGAGGAAATGGAGACCCTCGCAGCACCCTCCTCCAAAACGGTTAGTCCTTCCTTTCCTTTGACCTCTTCTCTGCTCTCACTCACTCCCTCTCTGCTTCCCTCTTTTCTTGCTTTCACTGCAGTTGAGACATGTCAATGGCTGCTTTACTGAGTTCTGGGCAGCAGGTAGCCTAGCAGTTAGAGAATTGGGCCAGTAACCGAAAGGTCACTGGTTCGAATACCCGAGCCGACAAGGTGTAAAATCTGTCATTGTGCCGTTGTGCAAGGCACTTCACCCTAATTTGCTCCAGGGGATTGTCATCCCTGTACTACTATGGCTGAGACTATATTTACCAGTGTGTGTTGGTGTTACTGCTATGATTCAGGGAGCTGCATTGCCCTTGGGTACCATACTGTAGTTACCCTATATTACCAGTGTTTATGTTGTGTTTCAGATACAGCAGTTATCAAGACATAATGCTATTTTTGCCCTTAGCAATGTCATCCTTTTAAACCTGACAGTGATCAGCTGATTGTACATAGGATTCACCGTACAAGACAGGTGTAAGAAGCTAAATCAAATCGGATACAGGTCTGCTAATTGATACAGAATGTTGCGAACATGTCCATTTAAAACCAATTGCTTCTGTCTCAAGATTAAAGCTTACATGAATATTGGTCACTGCAGGTGTCATTCATGTCAATCACTAGGACACAGACTGCTATGTAATGTACATGTAAGAATAGATCTCTTTGAGCTTGAACATAAAGGTTATCCTTTGTTCCACTGTTCTTCCTGCTGCCTGCCTCTAATACAGCCTGCATGTCAGGCACAATGAGGCTAATAGCCAACTCAGTACCATTGTACGGAGGGCGAACCACGGAAAAAAGGCTCTCATTTGTGCCAGCCGTTTTGTGCAAATGGGACTGGATTGGCCTAATGTGGCAGCAGCGCCTGTCTCCAAATCAAATATAATCTGGCAACAGCTCAGCTCAGGCCAGGACTGAAGGGATAACTGTGTTACTATCCCATGGGGCCAGTTCAGTTCACACGCTAAAGGTGGGAAATCATTTTCCCTTCTCAGATTGCAGCTAAATTCCACAGGCCATTTTCTCTACCTTGAATAGGGAGTTTTCATACATATTTAAATGGAGCTCTCCTTTTAGTTTGGAATAGTTTGTTAGGGGAATGTATGCGAGGGAGAACTTTGCTGTACATTCTGAGGCCTTTGCTCTGGCTTGAGCAAGTCAACAGCCTCTGATGCTAAAGTAGAGACTTTTGGACTGTAGATGAAGTCCAATGACCTGTTGCTATTATGTTCTCATGCATATTGCTACTGTTTCTTTTCCATGCCTGACCAATGACAGAGGTCCGGGGAGTCCGAGGAGGGGAGCTGGGCGCAGGTAAAGAATTTGCTGTCGCTCTCATGGATTAAAACAGTAGAATTGTCGTTTATTTAGAGTTACTCTAGTTCACACCAGAGTTGGTTTACAGTAAAACAGTGTCTATATGGCTACTTTTCAACTTGATCAAATGTAGTTTACAGATTAACAGTGGGCTACAGTACGTAATTGTTTCCTTGCCATTGTTTCCTGTCAGACTCTAGCGTATGGTGACATGAACCATGAGTGGATAGGGAACGAGTGGTTGCCCAGTCTAGGACTACCTCAGTACCGCAGCTATTTCATGGAGTGCCTGGTGGATGCCCGCATGCTGGACCACCTTACCAAGAAGGACCTCCGGGTGCATCTCAAAATGGTGGACAGCTTTCACAGGTACACTAGTTTCACCTGCCCTCCTCCTGCATGATGTAGAAAAGTAGGATTTGGTCAGAAAGTTTTGTGTTTAGTCTCATTTTGTGGTAATAAGTGCAGAATATTATTGTGTTTGTCTTTCAAAAAATGGCTTTTCTAATGTTCGCATGACTGTAGGACGAGTTTGCAGTATGGCATCATGGGTCTGAAGAAGCTCAACTATGACAGGAAAGAGCTGGAGAGACGCAGAGAGCACAGCCAGCATGAAACAAGAGGTACTTAAAGGACAATTCCTCCCAAAAACTATATTTTGGTATTTGTTTCATTAGTCCATTGTTGACATAGTCCCAAAATGTTTTGCTTGTCAGCAATCAAGTTTTCAAGATATTTAACTTTCAAAATACAGAAAGCATCATATGATGCAAAATGCATCAGATGGGGATGATTTCTGTATTTTGAAAGTTATATACAGTACCTTGAAAACTTGATTGGTGACAAACAAAACATTTTGGGACTATGTCAACAATGGACTAATGAAACAAATACCAAAAAGATAGTCTTTGGGTGGAATTTTCCTTTTCCTTTAAAGACTGCTCAAGGAATGATGATAAAGCCCTTTAAGCTAAAATATATCTAGTAGTGTCTAATTACAATCTCCTTAGTAATCTGCTAAGGCAAGTAATAGTTTACAGTATGTATTGCATTCTATTGTGTCTACCTATCATAGAGCTAGGAGGTGATGGTCATTAAGGACCAATCTAGCAGAGCCCTGAAGATTTTCTTCATCATGTAAACAGACTTGGAAAAATTATGTTTCTGTGGCCAAACACCCATGTTGTGTTGTACTGTAATAAGGGCTTGTAAGTAAGCACTGTTGTATTCGGCGCATGTAACAAATACAATTTGATTTGATTTGATTTAATACCATGTCTGTGTGCCCCAGATGTGCTGGTGTGGAGCAACGAGCGGGTTATCCGCTGGGTCCAGAGCATCGGCCTGAAGGACTATGCCAACATCCTGCTGGAGAGCGGTGTGCACGGGGCCCTGGTCGCCCTCGACGACAACTTTGACTACACCAGCCTGGCGCTGCTCATCCAGATCCCCAACCAAAGCACTCAGGTCAGATCCCTCTGCCCTGCATCATGCTATAGCATAGTTACGCCACAAGAGTGCGATGCACAATGTACTAGCACAACGATACCACAAGAGGGAGACATTAACGTCTTAATTCCAAGAGTCTGTGTTTGTAGTCTTGTCTCTCTGAGCTAAAAGCAAGTTAATTATGATGTTTCACCCCAGGACAGAATAGATTATTTAGATGATCATCATTAGCAGTAAACTTCAAACACATATTTTCATTTCTCAGTCTTTTCATCTCAAACAGGTCTAATAATACCCTGAGTGCCAGACCAGTAGAACAGTGAGCTGTTTGGTAATGCTGGCTTGGTATCAAAATGACTGAAAGCGTCTGTAGCCCAAAATAAAGAGACCTTAAACGTCCATTTCAAATGTACCTAATAAGAACTATTTATCCTTCCTATCCTCAGGCACGTCAGATTCTGGAGAGGGAATATAATAACCTGCTAGCCCTGGGCACTGAGAGACGACTGGACGAGGTGAGTGACTCCTGTCACCCGGACAGCTAGCCCCTGCTGTTACCATGGGTGATGGGCCGTGACAGACACGCAGACAGACACACACACCTGGGTTTGTTGTCAATCATTACTCAGTTTTCCACCATCTCACTGCACCTCAGACCTGTCCTCAGTTTTTACTTCCCACCCAATCCACCCGTCTCTCATATTGTCTTAGAGTTTGTTTGAGTTTCTAAATTGGGAAATTAGTCATATTTGTTAGCTACTATAAACACTACTGTATATGCAGACACAAGCTGTTCTCAGACCAGTTTATTTGGTGATAAGATAATGGCCGCCATCTCTAAACTCAATCTCTAACCTGTCTGTGTCTGTGTGTCTGTCCGTCAGTATGAAGATAATGACCTCCGGGGGCCATCGTGGAGGAGGCAATTCCCCCCGCGGGACGTCCAAGGGATCAGTATGATGCCCGGCTCGGCAGAGACCCTCCCCGCTGGCTTCCGCGTCACCACCGGCTCACACTCCCGTAGGCTACCCCCCGAAGGTAAACTCCCCCACAGACTCACACACTGGCCCCCTGCATGGCCAAGACCCCCACAAAGTAGACCTAACAATTAGACTAGAGCCTCCAGTTTCAGTGCACTTAGCATGGATGAATGTGAATTGCTAATAATGCTACATTTGATGGTAAAATTGCACTCATCAAACACTTGCTGGACTGCCACACAATCATTCAGTAGTAGCCCCATTAGTCTTACACTTAGAATAATATAAAAGATGCTAATGTATTTGATTAAGATTGTACATGGTTGCATTTCTGTTTTAGAGTTTGGGGGGGGGTGGTCCTCTTGCCCCTCTCTTTACTTGGAGCTCTCTCTCCCCATCACACTCTCTCTTCTATCGGTGTATGGATGGAGCGTGTTGCTGACTATATCTCTATTTTCTCTGCTCTGGGACTGCTGCTCTGTGTGCAGTGCTCTATGAGGCGCTGGATGACAGTCCTGACGACATGTATTTGGACTGGTTTCAAGGTCAGATATACTGGAGCTATACCATGTGGCCTGCTGTTGGCCTATGTGCCTTTACATCCCCCAACACTCCCTGGTTCCTGCTTCCCACCCTACCGTACCTCCTCTCTTCTCTCTCTACTGCTCTGTTCCTCTCTGTTTCTTTCTGTCCCCGATGCCAACTACAAGGGTTGGCCATTTGCTTGTCAAGGTTGTCAGTTTGTTATAGTAGACATTGTGAGTCGAGTAATTGTCACTCAGGTTACTGTTATTAGTACAGTAGTTGGTAGTTGCAGCCTCTGCTGCTGCACCCTTGAAGTTAAAGCAATGAATCCCCTATACATGTGTTAGTTGAGCTATGTTAGTTGAGCTATTTTAGTTGCCCTGTAAAAGGAGGTTTACATAAAAGAATCATGAAGACTTATGATGTATAAGATGGATGTTTTACAGTTGCCGGTTTGTGTTGCTCCTCGCCCTGTTGTTAAAAGAGGACGCTGGTCAAAATCTTCATGTTTTCAAGGGGATGAACGCTGTATTGAAACTTGCGTCTGTGGGCCCAGTGAGTTATACCTGGACTGTAGTACAGTAGGCTTGTTATGCCAGAACTTCTGATACAAGTAAGTCTATGGCTGACATCCGAATGCAGGTTTTGACCACAGTTCTTCTCTAACACAGTCCCCAGTGTAACTGGTCTGCCTTCCTGTCTCTGCCTCTATCTGTGGTCCCTGGTCTGTGGTGGTGATGATGACATTAACAGACTTGTTCCTGTACGAGGTGTGATTCACTCAAAATGGCCACGTGCACTCCTCCTCTGAGTGTGCGATGCAATGTGCCTTGGCTTTGCTAGCTGACATTTTGACTAACCTCGTTCCCATGTGTGGTGTGGTGCGTGTGTGTGCAGTGTGTTTTATCCACAGTATGGTGTACTGTACTCCTAGCCCTTATCAACTGGTTTAGAGTCAGTTTTGTTTGTCTCTCTCATTTGTTTGTCCCTCTCACAGTGGGCAATGGGAGCTGATCCTGTGTCAGTTGTTATGGGCATAAAGTAAGTTTGATAGCATTCTCTACTGACCCTGGGCCCACTCTGGGTGTTGAAGCTGAGTGACTAAGTGACGTGTCTCTGTCTCCCCCTACAGTTGGCCCCTCAGCAGTGCAGCGTCTGGACAGCTCTACAGTGAGGACCTACTCCTGCTGAGGGAGGAGAAGAGAGACTGTAAGCTGTAAGTCACACACATTATCCCTGTACAAGCTATCAGTTGCGCATACACACATGCTCACACACACACAAACTCTCCCTCTCTCTTACATCTGTCGTTCTGCTCAGGGAAAGCAAATTACTCTGAGAAATTGGAACGGGGTGAGAGGGTAACTTGTCTTTACAGATAACCATGTTTGCTTGGAGAGGAGAGTCCCTCCTTTAGTGCAGGCATCCATGATTAGGTGATAGGAGTCAAAGCCAGCAGCATGAGGCGGCCTCACTCTGTTGTCCCTCCTTTAATCTCTGTCCAGCACAGACAACTACAGCCACAGTACACATGGAACTCTATTCCACATCAGGTAACTGATGCAAGTAGTAGATCAATAAAAGATACAAATACACCTTATGGAACAGTGGGGACTGTGAAGAGACACACACACTGGTACAGACACACGCCTACGCACTCACACACACTCTACACACACGTACATTGTAATATTGTTGTAAGGTGGTATTATACATTTGGATTGTAGATATGTAGTAGTGTAATAATGTTATATGATGTACCGTTGTATCTTTTGTTTTATGTGTGATGCAAGTGCCTTAATGTGTTTGGACCCCAGGAAGAGTAGCTGCTGCCTTGGCAGGAAGTAATGGGGATCCCTAATAAATACATAAATATCCCTGAATGCCAAGGTAGAGAGATATGGCAGCTACATGAATCTGTCTCAAATGAGATAATGTTATACAATTAGTAATGTCAACAATAATTCCCATATGATCAAATCCATGTTTATGACAACTGCACTGTGACTGTGGATAAAGCTTCACAGTGGCACAGTGTAATTACATCATACCCCCTCTCTTTCAGGTCCAGATACTGTATGTATAGAAGGTCTTACTGTACCTTGGAGCTGCTGGACGGGTCAACCTGCCTGGAACAAATATTCTGACGAGACGCACTGCCAAGAAGCGCCCCCCTACCCCCAAAAGAGAGAGAGAGGGGGGCCAGCGAGGGGTGCCTCCTGCCAAGCCACCCCCCTCTGCACTTACAAGCCAAGGCCCCCTGAAACCTGGACAGCAGCTGCCGGTGCTACTTTCCTTCAGTTTGTCCTGTTGTCACCGTTTCTACCTTTTACATGTACAATAACTTATTGAAGCATAATGTACTGTGTATTTCTTCTACCAGGAGATGTGTAGGTTATCTGTAAATTAATATAAATATGAGGGTTTTTTAATATATATATAAATATATACACATCTATATTACAAAAAAGAAAAGATATTCAGAGTTTGTGCAAATAAACCTCCCCTTCCCATTTAAAGTCCATTAACTTGGTTAAAATATGCTGCTCTTTGAACATTTCTCCATCATTCCCTGAGACCATTTTGTACACAGTTATTTTCCATTGTGCCGATGAACGTGTGTTGCACCTTGGACAGACTGTCCATCTGGTCGCCACGTGACCCCTCCCCCCCAGCTGGTAAAGCCTGCCCTCTAGTGGCATGTACAGCCCCATGTATCTGAGTGACCATCCACCATTCACAGCCCATCACCTCACAATCATGACGGGAGCCCATCTCATAGCAAAGCATTCTGGGAGGAGGACACAGAAACGCACTGTGACGTTTACTGATGATGTGACAAGCACTTTGATACAACCACAGAAACTCTGGACCACAGCCACAGACTAAAGGATAGACTCCACTCTGAAGCTACTCAGCTCAGAGTTCAACTAACACCAGGAACACTCTTCATCAGATGCTATCACTCACCTATAGTACCTTGACAATAAGTCAGGCCATACATGAAGAAACTCTTGACAATATACACACTCATCCAAGCTGGCCTTTTTTTTTTTTTTGCCGTGGTGTCCGACTCAGCATCGCTGAGAAATAACTGAAAGACAGACTGCTTAACTCAGTGTGCGTAGAGTGTATATGGACATGGTCGAAGTGAGGTGAATTTTAATGACAAACCTGTTGCTTGCTGTGACATTGGTGTAACTGTTAACTCTTTGTTTTTGTCTGAGTTGCCAGGGAAACCTATTGTACAGCCCTCCTACCTGTCTTTGAGTTATTTCTGCTGGAGTACTCAATCAAGTTTGACTTTTTTGTTGACTTTTTACATCTTCAATTTGCACAAACAAAGAATCATTTTATTTTGTGTCCATTTTTTTTTTATTACTAATTGTATTTTGGTCAAAACTAAGTGGTGATCAAACAAATGTTCATTGCCAATAAAAAAATACTGTCAGTGAAGTAGCTGTTGAAATGACTCTTTTTTCACTCATTGCTTCACTTCAGCGCTCTAGTATGAAGAGTTCATCCATCATATTAAACTATAAGCTATAAAATAAACATGACAATTAACACATCAATGTATCAATAAGGTAGATTGGATGATAGATGCAGGATGTGGAACACCTGAATATCCACTCCAGAGCTCAGTTCTGGCATCATTAGTGCTTTCAGCTATATTCCGTTGACTGCAAAATGATTATGTTATTGTAGTAATATGAAGGGATTTTGATTTGTACGGTTGTGGTTTGTTGAAGTCTGTAATTAGGCATAAAGTAAGCTTCATTAATAGTGTTAAAATGTTGGCAGCATGAGGATTGAACACAAACTGAAGCTAAACTGTGAGGTGGGAGACCCTTCCAGCGACTACAGCAGCCTGTTCAGGAGGACATAACGTAACAGAATGTTCAGATAGAAATGTATTGTGTAGAACAAAAAAATATTGTCTATCAGATGGATCATGTCAGCTCTAGTCAGTCTATTTCTAACTGCAATGTTCAGTGTTTAACGTTCCTGAATACACCCAGGGCTCAGACGTTTTCCTGGACCCAAATTACTTACAGGTCAAATGCAGCCGTTTTTATCTCAAAATCAAACAATTTCTGTTTAACAATTAAATACCTTACTGTGATTGCTTTCAATCAAAAATAAACAAAAATACCTTAGTAAAAATCAATTTATCAAGCAAGAATTTTGCTAAGACTGTCTGGGAGTGGTCTGAGTGGGAATGGGGGAAAAACTCAAATTAGTTGTTATTGGCAGAGGTTTGGAACCCTCTTATTGGTCTATTAACTAATTTATCACCAGGCAGGCCAAAACTCCATCCCACCAAAACAGGATGACATTTCAGGTAGTCATTTCAAACAGCTCTTACACAATTCCACAGTATTATTCCAAAATCATAGTGTGTAAATATATATAAAACACAGGAAAATTACGTTTTTGACTGTGTGACAAAGTGAAAATATAGAGTTTCAATCAACCTTCTTCTTCTTCTTCAATGAGGTTTAACGGCGGTTGGCATCCAATTTGTTGCATTACCGCCACCTACTAGACTGGAGTTCAACTCCCTTACCTTTCCTTGAAAAATAAAATAAACCAAAGCAAAGAAATATCCTACCATCTAACACTACACTCACACCTTCAACACTACTACTAATAATTAACCCCACCCTTCTCTACTGTTTAAATACACTCACTCCTACCTCATGCCCTCAACCTGAATTGATGGGACATCACCACTTAACACATCCCTGTAACTCTTCTGCTGTCAAGTCTCGCACACCCAAATATCTCTCTGCAGCTGCCACCACCACCTCAATTTTCTTCGATTTGCGTTCCATCCCTGCAGTACAATTAATAACCATTGCTATAAACGCTAAAAATCCAATCTTGCTGAACCATATATCACTTTTTGGTTTATTACTGGTACATCTCTACTACTCACACCATTTCTCTCAGGATCCCTCCCCCTTGACCCATCTTCCTGTACTTTCTTCACTGCCTCCGCATATGACAACTTCTTCTCTACTCTTACCCTGGATACCTCAACCTGCTTCTCTCACACTGGACATGTCTGATCCCCAGCCCCATGGCCACCCCTACAATTAGCACATACCACCACTTTCCCCACTGCTTTACACTCCTTTGTCTCATGCCCTTCTGCACACCTCTCACACCTTGGAATCTCCCTCCTACATACTGCTGCCACATGCCCATAAGTTTGACACCTGTAACATCTTAAGGTATTCGGCACATAAGCTCGCACTGGATAACTTATATATCCTAACCTCACTTTCTCAGGCAAAGACTCAACTTCAAAACTCAACAGACAATGACTCTTCTGTTTCCCCACTCTCGCCACCCTGTTTACGTCGCACCAAACGACGAGCATCACACACACCGGGAATCATCTCCTTCAGTTGGTCAACTTCTACATTCACTGCTACTCCAGTAATCACTCCTCTCAATGGCGCCCTTTTCTTAAGAGCGAAACAATTCACAATTCTTTCCCCCATTTGTTTAACTCTGAGCGCCTTCTCCCTCTGCCCAACAGAAACACAAACAATTATCCCTAGACCACTTCTGGTTACCCTCACCGATTCCACCTTACCCAACGCTCTCTTCACCCATCTTGAAACCACAATTGGATCAGCCAAAAGGCAAGGATACATTTTTTTCCACAAACTTCACTCCTACTGTCACAGACTCATCTTTATCCTGACCCGCTGTGCAATCCTCGGGCTCCGAGTACTTCACCACACCTTCCACCTCCGACACATCACCCTCATTCACTTCCATTTCTACTCCTGTCTTCAGCTCACTTTGCTTACATTTCCTACCACTGTTATTTAACAAACTTTCTCCCTTTTTCACGCCATTTTAAACTGACTCAAACTCACAATCTTCCTCCATCTCTCTCTTAGACCTCCTCTGCCTCTCTTTTTCCCTCCATTCCTCCTCATTCATCCAAGTATACGTCTCCTTATGATAATACTGCATTTCTCCAAACCTATATCTGTTTCTTGCCTTCTCTAAGGACTCCATTTTCCCCCTCCTTTCCCTTCCGGCGTCTATTCTATCCTCGGCCTTGACCTCTTCATTGCTCTCCTCTTCTGATCCGCTGTCCTCCTCTCCTGAATCACCATCATCTTCCGATCCCTCATCTGAGCTGTTATCCTCACTATCATCGGGACTTACTCCCTTTCCAACTGCTCGTCTTTTCGCTGAAGACGCCATGCTCCCAAAAAATCCTCAATTTCCAACTCCGTGCACCTTTCAATCAACCTCGCTCACGCTGCACGCAATGTAGATATCGAAGAACACCGCTGTTCTCCGGCAGAGTAGTGGATGAAACCATTCACTTCAGAAAAAGGTGTGATACTAATAAAGTTTCCTTTCATTATGTGTTGTCGAATGTATAAAAATATTTGCTGTCATTGTAGTAAGGTTGGCAATACGAGAGGTCTTCAGACTTACCATTTTTGTATTATTTTCCTTGAAATGACAACTAGTGGGTTTTGAGTGCTTCTCCCCTATTTGGAAAGTTGGTCTGCCTGCTCTGCTCTTCAGTCAGATATATTCTGAGAGCAGGTTCGTGTCTCCTTCTGTACATAAAAACTGTATAACACAATAGTGTCTTTGGAAAACTGGTTCATATCTCCCAAAGTCAGTAGCGAATGTAACTATTTATATATTTATGTTGCCGTTAATGTATTTAAAGCCTATTTCGGCAAGTTAATCAAGTGTTTGCTAGCTAGCCATGTTAATAACGAACTAACTAGCACCATCAGTCAGTGCACTGTAATTTATTGTTTTTATTTATTTAACCTTTTAACTAGGCAAGTCACGCAAGCTATTGCTAGCAGGTGATTTATTGGTAATTCAAGACTTCTTTATTGAAATATTAAGTGAATGTTTATTTTCTTACTACCTTAAACGGTTTATATAAAAAGGGTTGTACTTGTGCTCTGTATTTATGGATTGATGTCACTTCACATTGAGGGCATGTATCATTACTGTTGCTCCTATCTAAAATGTATATTGTGTCCTACCTAACCAGTGAACGTGTGGCTGTGACCATCCTGTCAATGACTGTCATCACTGTTTGATATCTTTTACTGCAGGTATACTTTTCTGTATTTTTGTTATTTTCTGAACACAACACATTTATGTTATACGGTCACATTGTGCATTGAGTCAGATATATTCTGAGAGCCGTGAACGTGTGGCTGTGACCGCCCTGTCAATGCCTGTCATCACTGTTTGATATCTTTTACTGCAGATAAAAACCAAGTCAACCTGAAGTGTGGGTGTCTTGTGTGCCTTTCTTCTGGGTGGCTATATGAAGTTGGTTACAACTACACTGGGCCTTCAATAGACCAATAACAAGGAGGGTTTCAAACCTCTCTGCCAATAACAGCTAGTTTTCAGGTTACATAAACATATCGCTCCAATTAGGCCCCTCACTCAGACCACTCCCGAACAGTCACTTTGCAAATTTAATTGAGAAGCATCACAGTAAGGTAGTTAACTTGTACCCAGAAATGTTTTGATACTGAGATTTTAAAAAAGGCTGCATTGGACCATAAAATCGGACCTATAAATAATTAACATAATGCATGATGGCTATTTGAACAATTTTGGCACAGAGTTTCTAAACCCAGTGGCGCAACATCGCGAGTCTTCTGGGAGCGCTTGCGAAGCAAACTCGGCAGACCAGACAAGGGTTTGAGAAGTCAATGGGAGAAGTGAAAAATGCATCCTTAGTTGTTAACTTTCTCGAAATCTAAAGGCAAAACCTAGATTCGAGCCAATGTCTGAAGTAGTTGAACATGTTATTACTCCAACCTAATGAAAGTGACAAACTGACACGTTTTCATTTTCGTCAAAAACAACTTTATATCGAAGGACTTCCTTTTAGAGGTCTTCACGGATCCACCTGTACCCGAATCAAAGTATCTGAGATCCGATCCGGGACCTGAGAGGAATTCTAAATAATGTCACGGGTCTGGGTCGGATCTGATACGATTGTCATGGGACTCGGGTATGTGTAAATTGAACTGACTTGTCCGGAAGGGCCCGTACAGATCCGGACACGACTGCTGCAGTAGAGAGAGAAAGAAATTGTATAATATCTGCTTCTGCTCTTGCTTTTCACGAGAGTGGAGCGTGGCTCGTGTAGCTTGTTGGCCAATCATAAGTCTTATAAGCGGCAATAGGCTACAGTCATATAGCCTCATTCCGTGTGTGGTAAAAGTTAGAAGATATCTATATGGATATCAATGGAAGATGGCATTAAAATGATGGAATTAAAAGTTAAAGGAGAATGATAGGCTACAACGACCAAGAGCCAACAGGTAGGCAGGCTGCTACTTATTAATATTCTGAATGGTTGTTATTTGTAACTGTAGAATGAGAAAGCACATGCACTGCAGCCTCAGTTAGCCTAGCTAGCTAACATTCGCTTCTCCCGGTTTGATGCAGTCCAAGACAGGTAGCTACTACATAATCATATTTGATATTAAATAACCTAGCTATGGTAGCTATTAGTCTACTATAGCGCAAGTCGGCTTGTTTGGTTGTTTGTTGTCTCTAGTCTCTCCCTCCCTCCTCCCCGTGTCACTCGCTCACAGTACGGCCCCTCCCCCGCCTGCTAGAGCAGCACCTCTCCCTCCTCTCGCACTTTATCAGCTCCGGTTAATAAAGTAGCTTAAAAAATAACTTCTGCTGCTTCCCTCACTCGGATCGGACCGGGTCTGGATCCGACCAGGTCTATACGGAATGAGTCTAGTTGTCCTTGGGTCTGTTTGGAACGGGTCTCTATATTTAAAATAAATATTTATACATATCAGGTGCAGGTGGGAAAGCCCCAGGTTCATTTCGTGAAGACCTCTACTGCCAGCACACGCGCAGTTCTGCATGACACGACCATTAGACCCGATGACATCGCCTACAAAGTGTGATCTGGGATTTCTGTTGGAGAGGCAGTTTCTGCACAAGCGGCTCCTGGCGTTATACATTTACATTTACATTTTCGTCATTTAGCAGACGCTCTTATCCAGAGCGACTTACAAATTGGATGATTTGTGACCCACTATCAGTAAATGTTGAAAGTAAAGAGACATTAGATTATAATGCACCATGAACTCCTTCTTTTCCTCCATTAGAAACAGCCGTGGCCAAACTTGGAGGTGGTGTTGATGAACTTGAGGTCGCTCTTCTCCAGGGCACGAAGGCTCGACTGCACCAACAGAGACTGAAAACAGAAGTTAATCAATATGACATTTTACAACCGCACATGCCATTCACATATTATACCTAAAGCAGACATTGCCATTGGCTGCACAAAATCTCATTAAGAGAAATACCACGCATCCCTGTTTACAAGTTTGAACACTGGAATGTGTGTTGTAATCTACACCTTGATTAGGCTGATAGACATCCACATTATTTTGTTGAATGATTTTCAATTTGAGCATCATTATTTCTATATAGCCTACACTTTCTCCTTCTGAACTTCTAACACGAGTGGGACGGGTGTGGCTTTGTGACAATGATCAGGAGCAGCTTCTCACCAATTTGACACCGCCAAAACAGTTATGTGGATGTCGGCTATTGCCGGTTAACTCTTGATCTGACTCCAGGCCTTACTCAGAGAATTGACAGTATAGCTATACCAAGTTTTTTCACAATTTATTTCACAGTGTTAAATATACTACACATTTTCACAAGATTGTTAACCAATGTTCAAGGTCTACAGTACATACTATCAAGTTATTTCATGTCATTTCTTGTCCTGGCTATTCAATGTCACCCCCACACAGAGGTAGTGACACCCATCTCTCAGAATGACTGTTCCCTTTGGGTAATGTTAGACGGCGTAACTGTTAAATCTACAATTGGGAGTGTCTACAGTGAAATAGTGAAGATATACTGTAACCTGTTTGCAGATCTGCTTGTGCTATAGTCAACTCCTTCTATTGTGCCATGTTCATTGTCACGCCAATGAAAGTCAGAGGAGTTGGCTAAAGTACATACAGCTCTAGCGACCAGCGATCGGACTGTTTTCTGTCCAGTCAGAGGTACAGTTCTAGTCCACTCTTCATGGTAGACTGCACTGTCTGCAGTCCAGGTGGAGGGTTAGAGCAGGAGGTTAGAGAGTTACTGTCCAGCGGGTCTCAGCTCCTGTTTCACCATCTTCTCAATGTCCTTATACACATCTGGGTCCTCAATGGTAGGAGATATCTGTGGAGACAGACACAGCCTTCCATACTACTAGTAGTAGCCATTTTTTTTCCATTTCTATTTTTGATCTGTTTAAATCTTATTACATCATGAGTGAATTTCATCTTTGATATAATCCTCAAACTTTTATTCAAATTGTCGGTATGAATTAAATTGATCCAACATCGGCTCGCCAGATAATTGGCAGCTGTACAGGAATAATAATCCAGTGCTATTCTTGGTGAATAATTGCGCCTTTGTCTTCCAGTACCAACCAACTTCTTATTCATTCATATGCAGCCATTTCTCAAAGTGTGCCTTGGCTTCAATCCAAGTACAGTATTGACAAGCATTGACATGGTGGGTGAATGTGTGGTGAGTTACCGTGTATGACTTCCCGTTGACCAGGTTAGCCAGGGAGGAGCGGGGGATCTTCCCAGAGCGGGTCTTGGGGAGACCTCTGACAATCAGCACCTTCCTGAAAGCAGCCACTGGTCCAATGGTCTCTCTGACCAGGCTCACCATCTCCTTCACCACGTCTTCCTGGCTCTTCTGTAGGTCTGAGACAGACCCACATTCACAGATGTTTGACTTTTTATAACCCCACAGTCACAGGAATGTTGGATCCCCAAACTGCTCAATTAAATGGACCTTTATCCTGTATCTCTCTGGGTCACTGTGTCTCTTACCGTTTCTGAGGACACACAGAGCCAGGGGGATGTGACCCTTCAGGGAGTCCTCCAGACCCACCACAGCACAGTCCACCACCCCAGGGTGCAGCAGACTGGAACACACATAGCCTCTTTTAGAATCCGAGGGTGAAATACTTACACACCCGTCTCTAACATGTAGGCTCAGCATTCCCAAACAATCCCATTACAAGTCAGAATGTTGAACAAACTTCATTTCAACTTATTTTACCTGTTGTGGAGGCTGCTGAGGGGAGGACGGCTCACAATAATGGCTGGAACGGAGCGAATGGAATGGCATCAAACACATGCAAACCACGTTCGCACATGACAAACACTTGCACAATATGGCAGAGCTTAACCGAACCACAGACCAAACGGCAAACACTTTCAGCTGATTGTGAGGAAATGTGCTTCGGTCGACTACGTTCAGTTACATTTGGCTATTGTTTACATATTGTGCATCATATGCAATGCGTTAAGAGATTGAAAATACAAGCGACAGACCCTACCGGCACTGCAAAAAGTCGGGAAAACAACACTTTCCTGTGGATCAGTGGCGGTCAGTGCTGTTTCAGACGAGGGAGGAGGATTTTTTTTCATGAGCATGGCCTCATTTCTATTACAGCATATTGCATGACTGTCATTCATATTCCATTCACCCAGTTAAATGTAACAGCAATAGGTTTAGGCTACTACATGATACTCAAATTTTCCCTATTCCCATCATTAGGTTGCTACAACCTCGCCTATGAATAAAAGTTTACAACGTAGGTGCACACACATGGACAGACAGTGACATTCAATACCACCTTGCACACTCTTGCCTGCATCCAGCTGATATTGTAATCATTAGTCCAACAGTTGCAAACAAGAGTTTCTATTGGACAAATTCAGGTATGTTTATCCCCATTTTGTTCAGTTTTTCAACAGAATCGGCAGAATGAATACACCCCCGATCACGCGTAAACACAGTTTCATATCAGCCACGTTGTATTCCTTCTCGCATCTACGTTATGCGGTCTCCTCCTTTCACCTTTGCTTGTTGACTTCAATGCACAACACATCAGCTGTATGTGACCAGGAAAAAAAAGAAAAAAGAAGACAAACCGCTACATCGTTGTCACCATATTAGCTAAAGTAACATCATAGTCAGCATAGCTAATAGAACTAACGCGTTAGTAAACCCGCTACAATCATGCAGTAAAGTTACAGTGTACAGTCAGTAAGCAGTTACACCGGCGGGCCCCGGTGGCAATAAATTAGTAAAACCAAAAGCTTACCTTGACTTGGAAGAGTTCCAGTGTTGTGTTGCATAGTCATAGCCAGCTAGCTAACAAAGCATCCCTCTGTTTGAGCAGGGTGTTTCAGTAGGCTAAACTAGCTAGCTGCATTTGCTAGCTAAGCAAGTGAGAAAAAAAAGACAAATCTCTCTCTCTATTTCTCTCTTGCTTCTCCTTCATTTAGGAAGAAATTAATTTGTTCAAAACTGTTCAACTATTTTCTTTCTCTCGAGTCAACTACTCACCACATTGTATGCACTGCAGTGCTAGCTAGCTGTAGCTTATGCTTTCAGTACTAGATTAATTCTCTAATCCTTTGATTGGGTGGACAACATGTCAGTTCATGCTGCAAGAGCTCTGATAGGTTGGAGGACGTCCTCCGGAAGTTGTCATAATTACTGTGTAAGTCTATGGAAGGAGGTGAGAACCATGAGCCTCCTAGGTTTTGTATTGAAGTCAATGTACTCAGAGGAAGATGGAAGCTAGCTGTCCTCCGGCTACACCATGGTGCTACCCTACAGAGTGCTGTTGAGGCTACTGTAGACCTTCTTTGCAAAATAGTGTGTTTTAATCAATTATTTGGTGACGTGATTATATTTAGTAAAGTTTTATGAAATTCACTGAGGAGGATGGTCCTCCCCTTCCTCCTCTGAGGAGCCTCCACTGCTGTGGATACCCTATCTCCACTCCACCTCCAAAAGGACCAACAACATGTACAACCGGTAAAGTAACTGTAAATAACATTTTATTCAACATTCTGGCTTGTAGAGACTATTGAGTATTTTTTAGGGCGACTTCGATCAGACTGAAAATCCATGGCGTAACCATGGCACAGTCTGATGTTTAGGCAAGAACATTCAGAGATGTTACAATACATTTCTGGTCAGGTTACATGAAGAAACCTTTTTCCAAATGACATTTCTACTCCAGTCATTAGCTATGTGTCTCCACCGTGTGGCTGACACAGACACCACAACACAAGGGAATAACCTGTTAACAGGTGGATTCATATCCATGCAATCTGGGTCTATTAGTCTCTCCGCTCATACCTCTTCCAGTGCCCCTGCCGACAGCCTGTGGCCCGCCACATTGATGACATCATCAGAGCGAGACATGATGTACAGGAAACCCTCCTCATCCACGTAGCCTGCGTCCATGGTGTCATAGAAACCCTAAGGTAAAACAGCAGGTAATGACTGACATTCAGATAAAATCACCACTCTAGCGTATATCACTTTTGAGTGTTTTTGATCTGTTATCTACACTGAGTGTACAAAACATTAGGAACACCTTCCTAATATTGAGTTGCCCTCAGAACAGCCTACTTTCATCGGGGCATGGACTCTACAAGGTGTCGAAAGCGTTCCAAAGGGATGCTGGCCCATGTTGACTCTAATGCTTCCAACAGTTGTGTCAAGTTGGCTGAATGTCCTTTGGGTGGTGGACCATTCTTGATACACACGGGAAACTGTTGAGTGTGAAAAACCCAGCAGGGTTGCAGTTCTTGACACACTCAAACCGGTGTGCCTGGCACCTACTACCATACTCATTCAAAGGCACTTAAATATTTTGTCTTGCCCATTCACCCTCTGAATGGCACACATACACAATCCATGTCTCACTTGTCTCAAAGCTTAAAAATCCTTATTTAACCTGTCTCCTCCCCTTCATCTACATTGATTGAAGTGGATTTTAACAAGTGACATCAATCAGGGATCATAGCTTTCACCTGGTCAGTCTATATCATGGAAAGAGCAGGTGTTCCTAATGTTTTGTGCACTCAGTGTATAATCATTCATTACATTTGAACCACTAGATGGCATCACTGGCCAGCAAAAAATAAATCCACGTACCTTGTCCCTATTTACATGGTAATTCAAGAGTTTAAATCTACAATGAGATCACCTACAGGGAACTTGGTGAAGTAGAGCTCCTTGAAAAGCTCTTGGTTCTGCCACAGAGATACGGCTGCTCCTGGTGGTAGTGGCAGTCTGGAGGAGAGAGAGACAGAGAGGGTGTGTGTGTGAGAGAGAGACTAGTGTCTGACACACAACAGACAGCAGCAGTGAGAGGTGACACTGTGGGACAGCTGGATCTCCAGGCCAATCACGGTGAGGACTATTACAGTGGCACAGAGGGAAGAAAGAGCCATACTCTGTGATGCTACAAATAACATCCAACAACAACTAGAGCTAATAACAAATGCTACAAAACAACAGTTCCTTTATAACTTTAATGTCAGAGGAGGTCTAGGGTTGTCTTCCCTTACCCATGAACCCATTGTCACAATAACCCGCCCCCCCCCCCCCCCCCCGGCATCAAGATGTCTAAGGCACTGTTTTTCTATGGAGAGATAAGATACTCTAGGATATCTAAACCCTTATAATACTTTGGGTTTAGCAAGTGACTAAATTGGAAAGATAAGCCTGTCAGTCTATAAGGTTTATAAAAGAGTTGGGGGGGCTGTGGTCGTGGATACTATTACACTACACCTTAGTGGGTTCAGACATGTTGCCCAGTGTCTGCTGGGCCTGACCTGACCCTCCGTGTGAACACACACACACATATAGGGTGACTGAGTATCTGAGCCTTTGTTTACCCAGGGTCACTCGATCACCCCCAAATGTTCTTGAGAGGGTCATCCAAGTTCAAGCCCTGTCTGCATCACACCAGTTTACAAAGCAGCATGTTTGTGTACTGTAGTTGCATCAAGAACAAATAACCTTTGAACAAAGTTGGAATAGATAAAAAAAAGTATGTACTGAGAGTATTCAAACTTTCCCCGTCTGTCTTTGACTGCAGCCAGATCTAGGGCACCTCTGATATTGCTCTGATAAACCAAGACCTAATCATGTTCCATGGTTCAACCGCCTGCATTTATATCCTAATTTGGCTGTCACCCTTTTTTGAATGCACTTCCACACACACACACACACACACACACACACACACACACACACACACACACACACACACACACAAAATAACAGCCTTTGAAGCAACAAAACAAACCAAATTCAATTAGGGCGCTAATGCTTTTTCTTAACACATGAGATCCTCGCCACCCAAAGGCAATAACAATGCCTAAGGTTCATTTGCACAATGCACTATAAGAAAATAAAAGTCTGGGGTGGAGGACTTCTGATGCCTCCCACCATCTTGACTCTCGAAGAGAGATTCTCCATTATTAATTCACCTCAGAGCTAGGTGTTAGTTCTTAAACAGAGAAAAGGGTTGGTTTTAAGAGTTGCGGCTATTTGTTCTCTGATGAAAAGCTCCATAGCAGCTTGGGCTGAATCCATTGTAATCCACCTTGTTGGTGCAGAAACAGTGGCAGCAATAACAATGAGGTGGTGAATGGAAGATGGGAGTGATTTCCAGGTAACAGGCTCACAGATAAGAGCACAATGGGGAGGAATGACTGATGTGCCCTCGCCGTGACCCGGCTCACACAATCAGCTCCCAACACAACTCGCTCATCAACTTATCCTTGACCGCTGGCTATGTCCCTTCCGTCTTCAAGAGAGCGAGAGTTGCACCCCTTCTCAAAAAACCTACACTCGATCCCTCCGATGTCAATAACTACAGACCAGTATCCCTTCTTTCTTTTCTCTCCAAAACTCTTGAGCGTGCCGTCTTTAGCCAACTCTCTTGCTATCTCTCTCAGAATTACCTTCTTGATCCAAACCAGTCAGGTTTCAAGACGGGTCATTCAACTGAGACTGCTCTTCTCTGTGTCACGGAGGCTCTCCGCACTGCTAAAGCTAACTCTCTCTCCTCTGCTCTTGTCCTTCTAGACCTGTCTGCTGCCTTTGATATTGTGAACCATCAGATCCTCCTCTCCACCCTCGCCGAGTTGGGCATCTCCGGCGCGGCTCACTCTTGGATTGCGTCCTACCTGACCGGTCGCTCCTACCAAGTGGCGTGGCAAGAATCTGTCTCCGCACCACGTGCTCTCACCACTGGTGTCCCCAAGGGCTCAGTTCTAGGCCCTCTCCTATTCTCGCTATTAGGGGTGTAACGATCCATCTACTACATCGATGTATCGATTTATATTCCTATGATCCAACTACATCGATCTGTGCTCGGCGAGTTGGCCTTTTGGACAACATATATCAATCTAACATCGTTTTAAAATGTAATAAATCGATTGTATCGATACTAGGAAATAACCCATTGGATTTAAGCACGTCAGACTTTATATGGATGTTTTTTCTTAGCACTTTTAATGATAATGGCTTTAAACATTACTCGATTCAGTCTGCCTATCCGTGACGTCATCGCCCCGCGCCAGCAGCAGCGCAAAGGCGCAAAGACAACAAAACATAGCATGGCGGACGACAGAGGAGAAGCCGACGAGCGAGAAATTATCAAGCCACCATTGAGGTCCTTACAAGAAACAGGAATCTAGGAAACTTCACCTGCACTGTCCAGTATCCAGGTATTTATTTCAGTCACACTGGTTGAATTTTTGGCTAAAAGGTTACTGAATCGATTTCAAGTCACTGAATCGTTTCGGATCGTTCTAAATGAACCAATATCGTCCTTGAATCGTATCGACAACCACGAATCGTGATACAAATCGAATCGTTGTTAAAACGAATCGTTACACCCCTACTCGCTATACACCAAGTCACTTGGCTCTGTCATATCCTCACATGGCCTCTCCTATCATTGCTACGCAGACGACACACAACTAATCTTCTCCTTTCCCCCTTCTGATAACCAGGTGGCGAATCACATCTCTGCATGTCTGGCAGACATATCAGTGTGGATGACGGATCACCACCTCAAGCTGAACCTCGGCAAGACGGAGCTGCTCTTCCTCCCGGGGAAGGACTGCCCGTTCCATGATCTGCCATCACGGTTGACAACTCCGTTGTGTCCTCCTCCTAGAGTGCGAAGAGCCTTGGTGTGACCCTGGACAACACCCTGTCGTTCTCCGCTAACATCAAGGCGGTGACCCGATCCTGTAGGTTCATGCTCTACAACATTCGGAGAGTACGACCCTGCCTTACACAGGAAGCGGCACAGGTCCTAATCCAGGCACTTGTCATCTCCCGTCTGGATTACTGCAACTCGCTGTTGGCTGGGCTCCCTGCCTGTGCCATTAAACCCCTACAACTCATCCAGAATGCCGCAGCCCGTCTGGTGTTCAACCTTCCCAAGTTCTCTCACGTCACCCCGCTCCTCCGCACACTCCACTGGCTTCCAGTTGAAGCTTGCATCTGCTACAAGACCATGGTGCTTGCCTACGGAGCTGTGAGGGGAACGGCACCTCCGTACCTTCAGGCTCTGATCAGTCCCTACACCCAAACGAGGGCATTGCGTTCATCCACCTCTGGCCTGCTGGCCCCCCTACCTCTGCGGAACCACAGTTCCCGCTCAGCCCAGTCAAAACTGTTCGCTGCTCTGGCACCCCAATGGTGGAACAAGCTCCCTCACGACGCCAGGACAGCGGAGTCACTCACCTCCTTCCGGAGACACTTGAAACCCCACCTCTTTAAGGAATACATGGGATAGGATAAAGTAATCCTTCTACCCCACCCTTACCCCACCCCAAAGAAAAAAACAAAAAAACATTGTAAAGTGGTTATCCCACTGGCTATAAGGTGAATGCACCAATTTGTAAGTCGCTCTGGATAAGAGTGTCTGCTAAATGACATAAATGTAAATGTAATGTAAACACACACACTTCTCTCTCTTTCTCTCTCAGGTCCTTCTGATGGAGCTCCTACAGTGGAGACCTATCTGTATGGCTTCATGTAGCCCTGGGTGATGTAGAAATGTTTTGTATGATCGATTCTAAGTAAATTCTTTCCATAAAACAATTCCACCCTCCTATTTGAACACATATAAAACAGGAGTTATTTTTACTGTGCTCAAGTTTCTAAAAGTGAGAGTGTGAGTCAATCTCCCTGTGTGTTTATCCCTGAGGCAGAGACAGAAAGGTTTGCTACTCCAGAATAACAGAATTACTTAGCTGCTCACAGAGGTGTGACCATGACCATGCGGCTGGCTTACCTCACCACAATATTTCCCAGGGTCCTTGGCGTCACCTCCTGCATGTCATCGTCGATCACTGTTACTGGAGAAGAGAGAGGTGCATAGAAATCTGATTTATAAGGCTTATATTTCACCAGCAAGGTGGGATGTCAAAATGTGGCTTGCT